TGTTTGGCAAGATTTATTCATGCTTGCATTGTGCACTGAAGCAGGTTTGTCAATGTGCACTTGCATGCTGCAATTTTGAGGTGCCAGTTGTGATGGAACATCAAACAATTCCTCTCCATTTACCTGGGATGATCAAATTAATCTTCTTACAGGCTTTGCTTGGCCTCTATGTGGGTTTGTCTCAGAACAGGAAACCCTATGGCAATGTCATATACTCAAAAGAATCAACACATAGACATTCGAAAAGAATAGAAAAAACCCATTTGTTGGAGGGCTTCCCTCTTTGGAGACACACTCACGTTGCCGCCTTCCCGGTTCGACTTCGTCCTTCTCCACTTCGTCCTCAGCTTTGTCTTGTGCGCCTAGAAGGTGTGAGAACAGCTGTTGCAACTTGTTTGTGTCAGCAGAAACATGATAAGCGGTTCAGAATCTTGACTTTGGTCAAATTCAGTAGCTACAAGCTTTCTAAAGTCTCTCTCTCCCTCTCTCTATTTATATATATTATTATATCTATATTATATCATGTTACTCAATGAACATCAGACCGTATCACGTAACATCACATTTGTTTTTTGCGTTGAGGTACAATCACCAAGAGTCGTATTTTGCTCATTGTCTTCGTCCCTGCGATTGTTGAACTGCAAGCCCGACATGTTTGATGGCCACCCTTCACCCTTGCTAATTGAAGGCCTTGAAGAATTTCATAATCAAGAGAATTCCTATGTTAAGCTCTGGCAGTCTTTGTATCCAAATCTTCCAGTGCTTGCTATTGCTGGAGGTCTGTGGACTGGTGGTCTTTCAGCGTCGCGTGGAATTCGAAGCCAGCTTTGCTCAACGGAAAGATCGACCTAGTTGGCAAGTCGACCCCTGCTTTGCTCAGCCCATGGCGCTCCGCTTCCTCCTGCATGTGGCTGGGGGGGCCGTTCTGTGTATGGCAGATCCAAAGTTGACTGCGCAGACCTTGGGGCAGATGTTTGGAGCCTTCGATCCGAGCACCGCGGCGCAGTCCACCGAAGCCGTCGTGCAAAAGGCCATCTTGCGCATCGGCAATTTGTCTGCACACTACAACGTGGCTTACGCGACTTACTCGACAGCTCTTGAGCCAGAGTATCAGGCAGCCAAAGTGAGTGGAGACAAAGCCAAGGTGGACGCCTTCCAAGAGAAGTTGATGGAAAAGCAGCGAGCTTTGAAGAAGCCTCTTTGCTCGGAGTTTGATCACTTAGAGCAGGTCGTGAAGGCAGGAGAAACCAGCTCAGCAACATACAAAAAACTGCAAAAAAGAGTGCAGGCGAAGATGGAGGCAGACCCAGGCAACCTCACAGTTGAACAGGCCTTTCAGCCCTACATGACCAAGTTGGAAGGCGTGGTTGCAGCAATGGATGCTGCAGTGACGACTGGGAAGACCATGCTTGCTAGCAAGTCCATTTGCTCTGAGTTACAACCAACGCTGTTGTACACTTGGATAGACTGGCCCGCAGGTTCTCGGAGGTTCCCTGTGCCTTTCACCTGGGTGGGTGCAGCGATTGGAGCTGTGCTTCTGGTGACGATGATTTACCGGGTCAGGCGCGTTTCAGCTGCCTTTGTTCCCCTCATCGACGAGGAGAGTAGCCTCGAATAAGATCAGGTGATGCCTGTTGATGCCTGTTGATTGTGGCCACAGGAGAGCCTACCGTGCTCAGCCACGCTCCGTTTCCACACCCGAGCAACGCAAAAGCGTGTGCTGTCTCCGCGCATCCGATACCATCGAAAAAAGGGCTGTTTGCATGACATCAGAGATCTGCGACGCCAATGGAGTTCAATATAGAGTTTGCCATCAGAGCTGGCTTGAGTCATTGAGTTTCTTCGACAATAATGCAAAGGATATCTAAGGAGAATCAGCTTTAGATGCTTTTGATACTTTATCTTTTGATCCTTCATTCAACCCATGGCAGGTTGATTCCCAGCTCTGCTCTTCGTGCTTGTATTCTCAACGGTGGGTGCCAAGCCAAATCGAACTTTAACCTGATGGCTTGTGCAATTTGCTGATTGCCTGAATAATGAAACGGCATAAACACTGTTGTTACAGATTGTGACAGAGTGAAGGCAGAATGACAGGCTTATTGATGTTTACTGTACTTATTATGTTTTAAAAAAGGTGCACAAAAGAATGCCAGAACACGAATGTACAGTCGGCTATATAAATCATTGCATTTGCCAGCATGACTTGTGGCCACGTGTATGAGCCACCTTTTGCGTGTCGATGAGAGTACATGGAAGATCTTGCGGCGCTTTCCTTCGTTGCTTGCCATGCTTTCCTGGTGTCCCCCTTCCCAGGGTCATCCAACCCAGTTCATCCACCACACGGCACGCCTACGTACATGTTGCACCATGTTACACCTACACGTTGCAGCACGTGCACCGTGTGAAGCCCTGGAGGGGATCAGTGGCTCTCACCAGAAGATGGAGATCAAGAAAGGCTTGTGATCGCTACCACACGGAGTGGTCCTCTTCTGACCGGCCTCCAAAGGCACCTTCAAGGCCATGAGATTTGCAGTGAGTTGTTAAAGCCTTCAAGCTTGCCCAACTTGTTAAAGCTAAGGGAGTTGAAGCATATTGAAGACCATGCGCTTGTTCAACACTGTTGAATTGAGGTCTTCAATATGATCTATCTTGTTTTCTTTGGCTGTGAAGGACAATGCCGCATTCAGCAGCGTTCGATCGATTGACCGTTTTTCGCTGGAGATCGAAAAGAATTGCAAACTGGCGGCGCGGCCTCGCCTCGCGATGACGAGAGGTTCCAGGTGTGTGTTGAGAGGTCTAACCGGTCTAACTATCACCAGCCGTCTTCGAGAATTGTCTTCAAGCCATTTTTGGGTGGGAAGAGATACTGGGATCCCGGTCATCCACCGGAGACCAATCCAAGTGGGAAGGCGATCTGATCGGGTGGTCATGGAGAACATGGTCAATATGGTCGTTTGTGATGTGTGGGTATTCCCCTGGAGTTTCCTTTGAAGTACACAAAAGTCCCTTGAGAGTTGTTGTTTCTCAGCCGAAGTGTACAGGGAGAAGAGATAAGTTGGTGTAATGAGGGAGAACTGCCGCAGTGCCTAACGCTGAACCACCCTGTGGCAGCTGTTTCAAGCTATTTTGGAGCCGGGGCGATGCGGTCGTGGGGGCCAATGGATCTTAGAACATCTCTTTCCCCCTTGCAAAAGGACATGTCCTTGACAAATATCAAGATGTCCTCCACTTCGGACGAAGCAGCTCACTCCATCTCACTCCATTCTCACTTCTCACTCCATGCTCACTCGGACGAAAGAACACGGACGAAAACCGCGCTCCCCTCCGTCGCCATGGGAGAGCATCGGGAGCAGATCTTTCAGGCCTTGGGGTTCGGTCGGGTGAAACTCAGTCTGTGAGACTCGGAAGGGGACACTGAATAGCGATGTCCCTCCAACCGAATTTTAGGGCAACTTCTGGGTGTTTCGGAATGTTTGACAACTTGCAAGTAGCTTTGCCAACTTGGAGTCTTTGACACTTTTCACAGCATTGGACCACACTATCTTGCACTGTCAATAGTCTCGGGTTCAAAGCACCGGTATCACATCCATGTGGCCTAAAAGCCTTGGCTCGTAGGCAATCATGGATACCAGTACTGTAGCAGTAGATTCTTAGGACGTGGTTGCATGAAAGCCAAAGGCATGGCTCGTGCTTGAACATGGTTGAACTTCAGGGTAGACTTCCCCAGGGGAAGAAAACGGTGGGTAAGCTTGGGGAGTAGCTTGGGGTCCTCAAACCAGACAGATTCAAGATTCATCCAAGCAACTTAGTGAATCCGAATCCCTTTTTGAACTCGAAGTCTGAAAGGGTCCCCTCCATCCCTTTGCAATGCTTGTTTGTCAGGTCACATTCAGACATCCAATGCTTCTTTTGATGTCAAACAAGCATCCCAGATCACATATCAGACTTACACTAAGGGCAGGGAGGTGCCATGAAAATACAAGGAGTTGGGACATTAGATTCAAGGAGTTTGTATTGAAGAGAGGGTTTGTTAGATGTGCATTCTCTAGTCGCATTCCTTGGAAGTTCATGGACAATATCTTGCAACATGAAGAAGCATGACATCATGACATCCCTTGTGAAGGAGTGCCGCGACTTGAAGAAGCAGCGGCTCGACGGGAGGGGGAGAGGATCGCAGAAGTCTTTCGGCCATCACACGTTTGGGTTGAGCCGCCCACGCTTTTCTGTCAAAAAGCTCGAACCATAGACTACAACAGACTAATTCGTACTGTACTTATTTTATATACTTTTTAATGCACCAATTAACTACCATATGAGTCTGTGAGAATTAGGGGACTACAGCCAGCAGAAAAGAGATGACCTTCGGCTAGCACTCATCCAATTGGGTGTGCTTCAAACTAGTGCACCACCAAACACCCACGTCAGAAGCAACAGCAAGACTAGATGAATGCTACCCAAGACCCACATCCCAATGACAGAAACAACACGAAGAAAGCTCAGAAGGCAAGCCAAAGTGGCAGGACTGGACCTTTTTTAGTAGACTTCTCGGATATCAACGCCCACTTTTGTTTATTTGATATATAATGATTTGGTGATGCAAAAGCGACATACTGTTAGCGGCTAGCGGTATTTCCAAACAATCAGTATAAGGCATAAGGATTAAGGTGTTAATCTCTTCTCTAACATAGAACACAGGACTTGTGCAATGTGTTTGGAATGGCTTTGGTGACAATGAATCCAGTAAGAGCAGCAGAATTTGTGGTGGGGTTCACCTGATGGGGAGTTCCGCAGTTCAGCTCTGTTTTGTCCGCGAGACTTGGACTCCACCAGGGACTTGGCGCTCAGCACATGTTTGCTCAAAAGTCCGGAACTTCCACAGTCCTTCACTCGCATCCGCGGCACTGCATGGAGGACACAGCTCCATGACACTCCCCAATGCACCGATGTGCAGAGGTCATTTACATCCACCTCCTTTTCCCTCCCGCCCAATTCACAAAAAGATGAGCTTTGAGGACGTGCATCATGTGCAGGAATGTGCGCCAGAGAAGGAGCTTCAGACCATTCCAAGGCAACTGCCACCACTTCAAAGTAGATGGATTCCACCTGCTGACCTCGATTTGGATTGGCAACATCATCCTGAGCTTCGATCGCACAACACTTCCTCTGTTCCAAGCTTAAAAGTCCAATCAAACCCCTCGATGGCCTCCATGCCGATCATCCACAACGTGCCTAACTTCGACCGGCCCTCCGCCTATGCGGCCGCGCTGCGAATTGGACCCCGTGGTCCCGTGCCGTGCGGATCGAGCGCGTCGCAGAGCTCCGTGCCGTCGCAGCGCGGCGCTTCCTCGAAGTCGTCGACGAAGTCGCAGAGCTCGGCGGACAGACGTCGCCGGCCCCTGGCGTCGCCGATTGACCAGGCCATCCGGCGAGAGCTCGTCGGGGACGGCATCGCTTTGGAAGAAGTGGTGGCCAATAAGCGCTCCTCGGGATGGGCGGTGAAACAGAGGCAAGCACAGAGAAATGATTTGGGCCACTTCTGCTATGGCTGCAAGCAATTACTGCGGGACCTAAATGAAGAGGTCACTGTTTGGACAGGTGCAGCCATTTATCGGCGTTTTCATCCAGCTTGTGCAGCGTCTTATATGCTTCGTGCGGATGGATCAGCTGATAGGCAGACCGGAGACATTGTCGAAGGCTACGCTGATGGTTGGCGGGCTCCCAAGGAGTATGTCAGGCCAGTAGAGGCAGCTCGGCAATGGCTTCTTTCGGAGGACCAACGAGCTTGGGGGTCTTTGCGCGGGGACCTCTTCACTACAGTGACAGTCACTGAAAACGGCAAGAAGAAGGCAGTTCCTGGGCTTTCGCACGACCAGCTGAGAATTCTTCAAAACAAGCACCGTTGGGTCGAGGATTCACATCTTGCCGAGCCAATCGAATGCGCGATTTGCTTTTGCGCGCCAGGCTCTGCATTGTGCATTCGGCTTCCCTGTGCTCCTCAGCATGTGTTTCACATGAGCTGCGTCTTGCCCTGGCTGAAGAAGGCCTCTTTGTGTCCAACGTGTCGCAAAGACTTGCGGGCGCTGCTGTAAAGCAGATGCAGCCCAGAGTTGGACGCAAGAATTTATGTCTGTGACCAGAAAAGTGGTTGCAACTGAGAGAGGTGGAGAATAGCAGGTCACGTCCTTTTGTTCATCCTACGCTTCTTCAGTGGCCTTCGTAACCGAAGAATCGATCCGTCTCTAGAACTGGGCGAGCAACGTGGCGTGACCGTCCCCGCACCCATCCGAGGCCATGGTCGAAGCGTCGGGGAGCTTTGCTGGCGTCCACCTGGCACGATTCCGTGAACTCCGCTGAGTGACCGCGTGAAGAGCGGTGGATGACATGACCATGAGGATCATGAGGGATCCATGGTGTGACGGTTGGCCGAAGATGTCAGTCCAGGCGGGTCAAAGGTACTATGACTGCAGGGAAACTGGACAGGAATTGAAACAGGGATGGACATGTATCAAGATCTATCAAGTGCTATCAAGATTATCAGCTGAGATGATTAATCGAGTCAGAACGTTCCGGAGATTCTGAATGCATTCTAATCGGACTGATGTGTGCGGGGCTTCTTGATCCACCTGGCAGTCTTGGCCTGGCGATCTCAGCCATCTGCAGTGCATGAGGCCCCAGGTGTGTCGAGTGGAAAGTACTGTAGTGGCGCCCCCCCAGAGAACAGCTAATCATTGAACACTCATTTCACTTCTATTGGCCTGGACCTGAACAAATTCCAGAATTGCTCGGTGTTCTTTGGGATTTGCTTTTTGTTCGAGGTCGCGTGGCGCACGACGACCACTGAATTCGGTGGGCGCTTTGACCCGGCCACATTGTCTGCACGGCCCTTAGAGACACCGACGGGATGGGAGTGATGATGTCATCGCCCATGTGACGGAAGAAAAGGACTGACCTGACCCAACGACTTGGTTACTCCATTTTGGAGCTACACATAGAATTACAGACCGGCAACAGACTGTCCCTCTTCTAGAAAGACCATCAACCATCATGGAACCTTAAATTGTTGCATTGCTTTAGCTCAATATGGTCAAATCAATATCTGAATGTTTGTATGGTCGGAGGCCCATAGTGGAGTGGTCTAGCAGTTGTGGAGTATGTGGAAGATGAGACTTCCCTCCTGGTTTGGTAGAGAGTCATGAACATACTTTAACTCATGATGATTCATCAACCTGTTGATCGACGGCATTCTTTAGCAGATCGAGTTGAAGCCACGCCCACGCGGCCCACGCCGGAGAAGCTCTCCGACACTTTTCAACGCAGACGCAGGGGAGTCGAGCCCGGGGCCAAATCCTGGGCAACGCTTTTCTCGCAAAGCAAGCCTTGATGGTCCCACAGAAGAAGAATTTGGACAAGTGTTTTGTGGCAAGTGGGCAGCGTGACATCGCCCACCGCTCACCGGAGCCGTTCACCAGGCACACACCGGCCCCGCTCCGCTCACGCTCACGTTCATCGGCCTAGATCGGGGTCGGCGGATTAACTGTTATAGATTTTTGAATTGTTTAAACTTGCGTTGCTGCTGGACGTTTTGGAACCGGTTTCCAGGTCGGGGACTTGCTGCGGATGTTTACGGAGACCCGGGAGGCCTGGAGATTTCGTTGACGCTCGTTGGAGTGAAGGGAAGAAGCTGCCCGGTATTGGTCAAAATCAAAGGTCACGGGGATCAGATACGAAAAGTCATAAGTCGGTCTTCGAAAGATGTGCATGCCATGGCAACAGTTTCAATTCGTTGGATTGAATGCGATGGCAAGGGTCAAAGCCTGGAGCCCCTCCCAGGTAGGTCAGCCAAGGTATGCTGGTGCCATGACCCACAGCCATGTCATGCTGATGGCATCCTCCGTGTTTGCCAGTACCTCTATGCCTCCGGCTGGCGAGAACAAGATGGAACCTTCGTTCCTCGCGGCCAGAGGCCAGGCGTTTGGCGTAACTCACCACTCTTTGGGAGTTCGCTGTCCACAGGATGGGGAAATGTTGGTTTGCCCTTGGTCTTTTGTTTGTTTTTAATAGGGATATACTTCTTCAGCAAAATTAGTTTTTGTTGGGGTAGTTACAGTATACACAAACTTAGTTCAGGTGAAACTCATTATACAGTATATATAACCCCGTCAAATAAATCATTTCTTGTTGTCTAATTGCCTTCTTCTGCCATTGGTACTCCTGACATAGTACTCAATATTGAGGGTTCCCACCAGTCATGGACAGACGGAAAGTGCGTTCTTAGGTTTGGGAGATGCATTGGCACACCTGACACACCGATGTGATGCCAAACCTTCGGACCGTCCAGCGGGCAGGCTTGGTGAGCCAAAGGCTAGCACACCCAGGCAATTTGAAATGAAAAGGCGAGGCGGCTGCAACTTACAGCATTTCTAGAGTTTCACGCTTTCGTGCCCAGCAACCTTGTAATCATTCCCAACGTTTTTCTTTTCAACTCGCTGACACGTTTTCCTTTTTCACCGCACCGATGGATGCACAGAACCCCAACCCGTGGGCCGTGGGGAACGGCCCCTGAGCTTCTGTGGGTGCGAGAGTGAAGGGTTGTGCATTTTGCCAGGTTTACTGAGCGCGTATCCAAGAAGAATGCTTGCGGTGCTGGCATCAGAGCCTCTTGTTTGCAAGAAGACGTGCCGGGTATGGCAAGATGATGGAATTGGGCCGAATTGGGGGTGCATCTGCTTTTTCCTTTGCTTCCTAGTTCAAGGTTGTTTCAAGACGCTCCCCGTTCTGACTCCTCCCCACTACTAGTCCGCGGGGGTCCTGGGTTCCACATGGTTCCACGCATTCAATAGATGAAATCGCTGGAGGCCTCACAAGGCATCACATGGTTCACTCCTTGACTCAGGATGTCATGCACTTCACGGCGCAGCTCCCCGACGTGGACGCGCAGTACGTCATGGAGGCTTCCCGGATTGGCTCAGACATGGAGAAGACGAGTCAGGATTGTCATCCACAGTTTTATGGTGAGTCACTTGAAATGGAGTCATGAGGACAGCATGAGGTCTCCCGCAGCCATGTCATGAAGGCATGAACCACAGACGTCTTGGGCTCAGTTTCCACGGAGTGAAAACGACCGCGATTCGATTGCGGTGTGCCATGTTTTGTTGACCCCTCGTGGAGGGGTGATCTTGTTTCTTCGAGTGCGAAATACTGTTTTGGCCTGCTGCTGTGCATCAGTGGCAGCGGAGCCACGGTTGCTCCAGGCACTGGCCACGATGGCTGCGAGGGACCCCTGGCTTAGGACAGATCCATGGCAGCACTACTCTGGCGTGTCGGGAGCAGCTCCTTCGACTACCGCGCCGTCAGGCGATGCTTCGAATAGAGCTGCCTTTCCAGGTGTCTCGAGCTGCTCAGGTGCAGTGCCGACTTTCGGGGGACCAAGGATGACTTCCTCAGGAACGCTTGGATCAGACCCTCGACTGGTTGGGAACTTCGTCACTTCGGCGAATGCAACGCCAATGATGGCGAACCCTTTGATGAGCCCTACTCCGCAGAATGCTCAGCAAGCAGGAGCTCATGGCATGTTTAGTCAACCTTTTTCTTTTGGTCCGCCTCCCCAAGGGATTGGACAGCAGGGTTTGAATGGTGTAGGGCAGACTATGGGTCAACCCCCTTCAAGAGGGAACCTGGCTCAGACTGCGCCAAACCTTGGCTCAGCGAACGCTGGAGCGAGTGCACCAATGCCCACACCCTTCTCTGCAGCTGGTCTTTGTCAGCAGTTGGATGCCACAGCATTGCCACCGACTTCACCAGTTGTTTCTAGTGCTTTTGAGATGCTGGGAAAACCGGCTCATGCAGCTGCAACTGTGCCGGTTGATCCTCAGGAGACTATGTTGAAAGCATTGACAGCTGCGTTGTCTGGCGATCGGAAATCGCTTCCGACTTGGAGTGGCGATGTTGCTACTTTGAGATCGTGGCTTCGACAGTTGACATTGTGGGAGATGGACAACAATCTGCCTCGACACAAGTGGGGACTCAAATTGCTGCAGGCCTTCGGTGATCAGACGCCGCCTCGACGGATTGCAGAAGCTGTTGATTTGGCGACTTTGACATCGGAGAATGGCTATGCTGCAATTCTTACGGCCATAATGGCCAAGTACGGGCCCTACTTGGAAGCTGCAGGTCCAGCCGCCATTGAGGCCTTCTTCTATGGCACCGAGCGGAACAAGAACGAGAACTTGTCAAGCTACGTTGCAACCAAAGAGATTGCCTTGCAGGAGTTGGAGTCACACCTGGGGGAGAAGCTTCCTCCCAGGATCGCTGGCAGGATTCTTTTGAGGCACGCAAACCTCTCGGATGCCCAGAGAGAGGCCATGGCGGTGAAGTACAACGCGCTGTTGACCTTTGAGCAGGCGGCCGCAGCACTGCGGCCACTGGACAGGCCCGATGCCTTGGTTCAGAAGGTGACAAAGAACTTCGCAGCTGCTTCGACCTATGTTGGCGCAGCTGAGGCAGAAGATGATGAGGAAGAGCTCATCGAAGACAACGATGGCCATGAGGAAAGTGAAGGACCAGAAAGTGACGGTCAAGGCAACCTGACCTACCTCCTCTTCGACCCTCAAGAGGAGTATACTGAGGAGGAGGCCACGTACATCTGGGCGTACAACAGCGCCTACAAGGACGTGCGTCGTGAGTTGCAGGCCCGTAGAAAGGGACGTCAGTTCTTCAAGAAGGGTTCAGGAATGCCCGTGCAGAAGAAAGGGAAGACCAAAGGTGCCTTCAAGAAAGGCAAAGGCAAGGGAAGCTCCATTGGCAAAGGCAGAGGTCGCGGCACTCCAGACGACCTCATGTCCAGAACCAAGTGTTTTTCCTGCGGTGGCCTCGGCCACATGTCTCGAGACTGTCCGCATCAAGATGCTCCACAGAATTTCTTTGTTTGCCATGGCACTGGTCGGGAACAGACCAGGATCTATGCGGTCAACGTGAACCCGACCGTGCAAAAGCAGCTGGAGATTTTTGCTGGAGTTCGAACTGAGAGCTTTGAGGCTGTAGTAGACACTGCAGCCGAAGAGGCTGTCATTGGGTCCAATGCAATGCAGCGACTGAGGTTGGCATTGGCTCAACATGGATTGCAGCCTATGGAAGCTCCAGGCACCACAGCGACTTGTGCAGGCATTGGCGGCTCAGCCACCATCAGGGGTGTCTTTGACGTTCCGGTTGGCATAGCCAAGACCAATGGCTTGTTGCGAGTGACAGAAGTCGCTGATGCTGGCAGCTTCGAGACGCCTTTCCTTTTGCCCATCTCGTACATCGAGCTGGTTGGAGGAATCATAGACACAGGACGAAATCTTTTTGCCTTGAAGGGAGGCAGAAAGACACCAATGCGCCGGCTCCCATCAGGGCATCGCACCATTTCGGTGTTGGAGTTTGCTGGACGATGGAAGTTGCCAGAGAGCCTGGCGCAAGAGCTCACCATGACGTCAGGAGCCAATCCTTTTTTTCTGCCTAAAGCCCAAGGAGGTGACAGGCTTCAGCAACGACCTGGAGTCGCTGTTTGGCTGAAAAGAGGAGCTGATTTGGTCTTCATGGGATCCATGCCGGGTCGCAACACCTTGGTCCACCCGGACGAGATCCTCCCTACTGCCCTGAAGCCTTCTTTGTCACGATCCCGAACTACATGTGCCCACTTTTTGGACGACAATACCATCACAATCCATGATTCATGGCACCTTCCTTCTCAACGCCAACTTCCTTTTTGGTCGGGTGACGTGTTTTTCGAGCTTTCGTCGACCCCTGCACCCTCTTCGACACCTTCTTTGAACCCAACTTCAACCTCAATGGCAACCACTCTGCACTCGCCTCAGGCTGCCAAGCCATCTACGGCGGATGCAAGCGAAGAGGTGCAGGACCCAAAGAGCAGTGTTTTGGCGTTGGTTGAAGAGAGGCAAGCACATGTTCATGAAGTTTTTCCTGACAGAGCAGTTGAGTCTTTTGGCAAGAAAGCAGTTTCCTTTGGCACTTCAAGCATTTCGATGTCGCCAGCCGAGTCAGCTTCCTTTTCTGCAGAGTTGGCTCGTGGTTCAAGCCAATCGTCTCGACCTCTTCAGCAGCATGCAGAGTCGCATTGCAGGATGGCTCTACAAGTCGGATCAAGAGAGCCAACAGGCGCCTCGACGCCGGAATTCCAAGAAGTTGGAAGCTGCATGGGCTCGCATGGTGCAGATGACCGTGCGCATGCTGATCTCAGTGATCTGCCAGTCGGCCATGGATCACCTGATGAACCGGAACAAGTATCCGGCAGTCGCCTCAACCCAGGTCACCGAGAAGGAGACCAAGAGCAAGAAGACCAAGGGCGACGGCCGCATCCGGCGAGGCATTGGAAGGCCTTTGAAGCATTCCACGGCTTGTGCAACATGGCGCTACACGCCATCGGAATGCCAACACGACGACGACAAGCTGCGCCAGAGGGGTTCCAAGGATCAGTTCTGGTGGACATGCCTGGATTGCGGCAGCCGTTGGGAGAGAGTCGAATGGCAAGCGGACGAGGAGATCAACCGCCGCTCCGGAGCTCGCTCTTCCACAGAGAATCCGGCGACTCCCACTCCCATCGAGATCATGACCCACTCCGACAATCCGTATCCTCAGAAGCTGCCGCCACCGAAGTCAAGGCCCGAGCTGGCTACCTTGATCGTGAAGGACATCACGGCCCAATCCGGGATGGCAGCGCCAAGGCCGGAACAACAGCTGATGCTTCAAGGCTATGCATCCAATGCAACACCGGATCCCCTGGCGGCTCCGACCACACCATCATGGCTGAGGTCCCCAGCGGAGTTGGAGGAGGAACGACCTCAGGGAAAGATGACAAGCGGCAGGCTCCCATCAGGGTCTTGATCTCAGAGCGCCGAGCGGCGTCGTCGCATGAGCTCGGGAGTGCGGCCGATGCAGAGTCGCACCAAGCCTCGCACCGCCCGTGTGTCAGAGCGGGCCGAACAGTTCGAGATCCACTCTTCGGAAAACAGCGAGGAGAGCATTCAGGTCGTCTCCCCATGAATGAGACTGAGGAGGGCAAGGGCTACACGTGCACTACGAGCACCACGATGAAGACTTTGGCTTCACCTACGACACCCTGTCCTTTGCCCTCGTCCCAAGGAATGGCCAGACGCTCGAAGAGCCCTCTCACCAGTCGCTCCAAGAGCTCTATGGCGGCCATGTTGATGACAGTGTCCGTTTTGTGCATGGTTCCTGAAGCCTCAGCCCGAATTGCTTGGCTGGGTTCCCGGATGGAGTCCGGTGATCCTTCAGGACAGACTTCAACGAATTCACCAATGCCGTTTGGGACTTCCACACCGGCAACTTTTGCTGTTTTTCCTGTGAATGCCAGTCTGAAAGAGCTGGCCCGCTCCGATTTTGATGGAGCGCCCAAGACGCTTGAAAGGAGTGAGCGCCAAAGCATCCTGGCGCAGATCACGAAGTACCTGGACCATGTGGGAGAGGTCTATTCGCCCCCAAGAGTGAGCAAGGAAGCGCGACGACAAGGACTACGAGCATCCATTGCCCTCGACCTCACCACTGGTTGGGACTTCCGAGATCCAGCACAAAGACAAAAGGCCCGTGAACTGGTCAGAAAACATCGACCAGCAGTTCTCTTGTTGAGTCCACCGTGCACGACATTCTCACCGCTCCGACGGCTCTCCAACTACAAGAGACCATCCTGGTTGGTCAAAGAAGAGGAAGCAGAAGGTGATGACCACCTTGACTTTTCCAATGAACTCGCCACGGAGCAGATGAATGAAGGTAGAGGCTTTGTTCTAGAGCAGCCCAAGCCAGCTACGTCTTGGCAGCGACCTTCAACGCTGACGCTGCTCGACCACCCTGATGTCTACCGCATCTACCTGGATCAATGTCGTTTTGCACTTCGAGCTCACAAGGGACCCTTCAAGGGCATGCTTGTCCGAAAGCCCACCTGCCTGGCCACCAACATCGATGGCCTGGCTGACTACTTGGAAAAGAAATGTCTCAAGAACCACAAGCACGGCATGCTTCTCGGTGGCTCAGCAAAGGAAGCAGCAGTCTACACCCCTCAGTTGGTGCAAGCCCTGATGAATGGCATCAAGGCTGCTCTTGGACTGCAGGTTGCAAAGGCGACATCAGCGCCACATCCTCAAGGCCATCAATGGCTTCAATGGGGACGAGCTCTGGGCCAGATCATCCGAGACCAGGCAGAAGAGACAGTCTCCATAGATCGCGAGATTGAGGAGACCTACGGTAAGACTACCCATGCCTGGCCCACAGAGCATGAAGCCGAAGAGGATGATGCGGAGGACTTTGACGCAGTGCAAGCTCTTCGCAAGGAAATGAAGACCATCGAGGACCAGCCGCGCTTGAAAGAAGCGCTTGAGAAAACGGAGACTTTCCAGAGAGTGGACGATGGAGCTTTCTCTTTGGAACCACAACTTCGTCGAGAGGTTCACCGGGTCCACAGAAACCTTGGACATCCTGCTCGAGAAATCTTCGCGCGGGCTCTGAAGGCCTCCGGGGCTCGAGAGGACATCATTCGGTGGACAAAAGATCACTTTCGATGCCCAACGTGCGATGCTCGAGTGAGGCCATCACCACATCGACCCGGGCATCTTCTCCGAGCTTTGGAATTCAACCAAGTGGTGGGGCTGGACCTGTGCTTTTTGGAAGCTTTTGGACAGCAGAACATTTTGCTCAACATGGTATGCTGGGGCACCAATTTCCAGCAAGCCAGTCTCTGCCGCAACAAATCAGCTGAAGAGATTGTTAACGTTTTTGCCAATGAGTGGATCAAGCACTACGGTGTTCCGACACTTCTCATTTTAGACAAGGGTCGGGAGTTCGACAATTTTCACTTCCAGCAGACAATCGGCGGCATGGGCGCAGGTCTTCACTACACAGACGCTGAAAGCCCGTGGCAAAACACCCGCACTGAAAAAGCGGGTGGGATTCTGAAGCAGAAGATCATGAGCACCATCCATGAGACAGTGGCTTCCTTTGAAGAACTTCCACTTGTGATCTCTGAAACTGTTAGCAGCCGCAACCGCTACATGGACAGACACGGCTTCTCTCCAATGCAGCGAGTCTTTGGAAAGTCGCTTCGCCTTCCTTCTTCACTGATGGCTACGGACTCACTTGATCGTGAACTTGTAGAAGCAGCGGCGCCAGATGCGATCAGACGCTCGTGGGAGATCAGAGAGGCAGCCACCAAGTCATGGTTGCAACGCCAAGACCTGGGAGCGGTCCGGCGAGCACTCAAGGCTCGTAGCCGCACCGCCGACCTCAAGGACCTTGCCCCTGGCACTTGGGTCTATGTCTTCCGGGACTCACCTTCGTACCATGGGTGGGTTGGCCCTGGAGTTCTTTTGATGGCTGACTTGAGTGACAGATCGGCATGGGTCTCTATGAGAGGTCGACTATGGCGAGCCGCTCGTGAACAACTTCGACCAGCAACACCAGAGGAGGAGCTGGGAGCTGAACTAGTGGTTGAACTCTCCAAGGAGATGTTGGAGAAGCTTAGCCGCAAAGAAGGACACAACCAGATTGCCTACCAAGATGTCACTTCTGAGACCTTCCCGCAGGACGAAGACTTGGAAGAAGCACGCAGAGTTCTTCGAATTTCTGAGGCACCTCATGATGCCCCACCAGCTGAGTCCGGCTCTGCAGGAAGCACCTATCAACCTTCAAGTGTTGATGAAGATGAAGAGATGATCTCAGAAGAGGCTACCACAGCTCCACCTTTGTCACAGAACCCTAGCAGACGAGCCAGTGTTCACACGAACGATACTGAAGATGCTCCCATGGCTTTGCCTCCCATTAAAGAGAACGAGGTCAATGAGAATGACGAGACCATGGAAATCCCATCGGCTCCAGTTGAGCCGACTAGAACCACCGTTCGAGTGGATGAAGGTCCACATGGGACAATGCACTTTGGCCCTGCTCCAACTGCACCACGGATGCGATCCACTCCCTACCAGGAGGTGCCTGAGACACCGCCTGTTGGCTTTGTCCCGCCATCTCGCGCTCCAAGAATGCCTTATCCGTATGACCAAGAACGACCTCCACTACCAGAACCTCCACCGAGCCGCTCTTTCTACATGGAGGTGATGGACTTTGACAAGGATGACATTTTGCTGCAGTTCCAAAGTCGTTCACCCTTCATTGGAGCGACGTGGAGGTACAACCGAGAGCAACAACGGCCTGCACTTCAACCAATGGCCATGTCCAACAGCACCTTCAGTGCCAACGATGCCGAGGCCAGTTTCTGTCCTCGCGATCGCTGCATGTATGTGGGCAAGGCGAAATCCTCTTTTGGACAAGTGGAGTTCCGCAACCTGCCGGAAGAGGAGAAAGTGAAGTTCAGGAAGTCTCGTTTGAAGGAGGTGGAAAGCTTGATCAAGAACAAGGCTGTGCGGGTGATGTCGGTGGAGGAAAGCATCGCGTTTGAGGAGCAGTTTCCAGAGCAAGTTATCAACTCTAGGTTCGTTGATCGCTTCAAACCGAAAGATGTGGCAGAGAACCAAATCGAGAACTACAAGAAGCGAGCGATCGATGAAGGCCACCTCGAGGCCATTGCTCTGGAGGAGGACCAACAAAACCCAAAGTCAAGGCTTTGCGTCATTGGCTGGGAAGATCCACAGATTATGGAGGTGGAGAGGTCGTCGCCTACACCACTGTCGACTTCACTGCATTGCTGCCTTCAGCTAGCTGCTTCGAGGCAATGGCATTGCAGGGTGAGGGATGTGAAGACAGCCTTCTTGCAAGCGCTTCCAACCACTCGCAAGCGGAAGCTCGCGATCAGACAGCCGAAGGATGAAAGTCTTGCTGGCTACGACCCTCGCCAACTCCTGATGCTTGAGACTGAAGTCTATGGCCTTGTGTCTGGACCTTCCTGGTGGCGACGAAGCCTCATCAAGATGTTGACTGAGGACCTTGGTTTTGAGGTCAATGTGTATGACAAGTGCATTTTGACCCTTCCTGCAGCACCTTCCAAAGAACCTCCGCCCGACAATGTCAAGCAGCTGACTGCGGGTTTCCTGGTGATTGAAGTTGACGACATTTGTGAAGCTGGAAACGCTCGACACCAAGAGCTGATGAAGCGAATGGAGTCGATGCTCGTGTTTGGCAAGGTGGATGCCTTGTCAAGTGGGCAAGGCTCGAACTATGCCGGACGGAGGCTCCGTCAGATGGAGGATTTTTCTTTCAGGTCAGACATGGACGAGTTCATCTACACTTGCCTGCAACCCATCACCTTGACCAGAAAAGTGCTGAAGAAAGATGCTGCAAAGGTCCTATTGACCGACCACGAGAAGTCTCAGCTCAGAGGCCTCATTGCAAGCCTCAACTGGTTGTCGCGTGAAGGCCGTCCTGATGTAGCAGCAGCGGCTTCGATCCTGGCTTCCGCCTTTCCTGAACCGACAGCCTTCCACGTCAATGCCGCAAACGACACAGTGAGACAATGTCAAGACTCACCCAATCAAGTTGGTGATCCACGCCATTGCCGAGAAGGACTTGCGCTGTGTCCTGGTTGCAGACAGTGCCTTTGACACTTCGGGAAAGGAGAAGAGCCAGCACGGTTGGTTGCTTGGCTTCACCAACCAGCTGCTGAATCAGGGCAAGCTAGCGCCTGTGAGCTTGATGCAGTGGCGGTCCAAACGCCTCCGAAGAAAGGCAGCCTCGTCTTTGCTGTGTGAGGCCATCTCGATGAGCGCGGCCACGGCAGCTTTAGAAAGGCAAGACGCCTTCATGGAATCCATCCGGATTTCTGGCTTTCAGCCTCGCTCTCGCCAGAGGACGGAAGATGAGAAGCTGGCAGCTTTGGGAAAGAGCACCGTGATCGCGAAGGAGTCGGAAGCCTTCTGCGACCCCAATGCGGTCATCATCATGGACGCGAAAAGCCTGTTCGATGCACTGAACTCAGATCAGTGCAGCGGAGAAGATGACAGAAGCGCCCTAGAGATTGCAATCATCAAAGAATCAATGTCCGTGGTTGGTGGCAGAGCACGATGGCTTCCGCACAACTTGAACCCGTCAGATGCTCTGACGAAGTTGGATGGCGCTCACACCGAGCCTCTGTTGCGGATGTTGCAGAGCAACCATCTCCGCATTGAGGAGGAAGCAGACGTCCTCCAAAGGGGGAAACAAAGCGACCAACGCCTGAAGACAGGCTGGGGGAGACAGAATTTTTGGGGGCTGAGTCACTTGAAATGGAGTCATGAGGACGGCATGAGGTCTCCCGCAGCCATGTCATGAAGGCATGAACCACAGACGTCTTGGGCTCAGTTTCCACGGAGTGAAAACGACCGCGATTCGATTGCGGTGTGCCATGTTTTGTTGACCCCTCGTGGAGGGGTGATCTTGTTTCTTCGAGTGCGAAATACTGTTTTGGCCTGCTGCTGTGCATCAATGGGTAACATAGTAGCAGGCAGGTTTACCAAGGTCCATTGAGATGATTGATTGTCACATGACATGCAACTTATTATAGAGATCATTTCAGATCAAAGATGGTGTTTGTGGGACCCTCCCACGCCTTTCCCTGTGTTTAGAGGAGTTTTAGAGGTCATCTCCGGTTTCCAGCTCTTTAGCGGGTAGCAGCTGTTTTGCCAGTTTGGTGTGATGCCGCCAGACGCTGTGTTCGGCCGTTTTTGCCACAGCCCAGGCGCTGACCAATCCAGGGTTTACCAATTGGAACCCCTCGCTTCATTTCGCTCGGGGTTCCCAGCAGAATGAGAACGGATGTCAGTCGCAGAAATGAGAAAAATGAGAAGGTGCTTGGTGATGGATTGATGGCTGAGTGGCAAAGAAGCATGACATAGCATGAAATAGCTGGCTTGACCATGGGTCTTCGCTTGATCATAGCACGGGCCAAAAGCCGCTTTTGGAGGGCAGATGTTCCTCTCAGATGCGGTGCACACGACGGGCACCCCACCGAGGTCATGTTCCGACGGCATCGGAGGCTCCCTTTGGACGCGAACCTCAAGGACACCTTTACACCCGAGGCCCGAGCGAGCACGGGGTGAAGAAGAAACCTGGAGAGGATCGTTGTGGCGTGGAGCTTTTCGAAGATTTGGGAAGACATTTGTGGAAAGACCGCTTAATTACTTGATCAGGTGTCAGTGTCGTGTTGAGGTGGTGCAATGGATCTGCTTTGTAAAGTCTGTATCGTTGAATGATGTTGAATGGATCTCCACCCTGAGAAGTTGCGAGAGGCTACAGTTGGGAGGCTGCAAATGAGTGGGTTCACCGGGTTCACTATTGCCAAGAGGTTAAGAGCTGTTCGAGGCTGCAGCTCTACATCGAGAACGAAGTAGGCTGAGGAATGTAGAGGAACAGTGTTGACATGCTTGATGGCATGAACAAACAGCTCCGAACCCCCATAGATGTTTCATGATGTTTCCGATAGACCTTGAAACTGAATATGGAAACTGCAGAATTGGTCTGGGCGCCTGTCCAGCGCCAGTGTAGCCAGGAGATGGAGGTGAAAGGTGGCTACCGATCCTTGGAGCAAAGCAGGAAGACCATCGACGTGTCTGCTCAGGTGTGCGTGAGAGGTGTTTTTTCGATTTTGGGTGGACGAAGCTGTTCAGGCCTCCGGCCTTCCAAGTAGCCAGCTTATGTGTTGCAATGGTTGACGATGCCAGGTTGCGGAGATTCAGATCCCTCGTGTTGCCGGGAACTCGCCTGGAAGACTGTTTAATACTGCGACATTGACATTGACATGTCTTAAACTGAGACACTGAAGAGTCATCCGAAAACGGCATGGTTCATGTCCAGAGGTTCAGAAGGCCGCCGGCCGGCGCTTCACTTCGGACTTCATCGCCGTGCGCCCGGACGGCCCAGACCGGGCATCGCTCGCTGTTTTCGGTGTGGGCTGACGAGCGTGGGAAAGAGCCTCCAAACAGAGGTTCGGTCTCCGGTGGGTTAAAGGTATGTGGTGGAGGACTGGCCTAGAGACTTGAAGGCATTTTGAGCATCATTGGGCTCAAGCTGCACTTGTGACGAAGATCTCGGGTGTCCGCACCTTCATGGGCTCACAGCACATTGAAGTCATACATGAAGCGAAGGCCCTTAACAGGGTTCATGAAAGCTCAACTTGTATTCCAATTTGGACTTCGTACAGTACTGCTCAAAGACCCACATCCTCAAGAGCACAAGATACGAGATGGAGGGTACAGCATCAGTGGTATCGATTGAAGCAGTAGGCTGTAGCATGCTGTAGCCCATTGTGGACTCTGGCCCAGAAGAAGGATTAATTCATAAGATGGGTGATTCACTCCATGCACTTTGCAAGCTTCTTGCTTAGCTTGCTTGATTCCCAGCGCGCAGTCAATGGAAAATCAATGGAAATCCCTTCGGAGATCCCGCCCCGATCCGGAGTTGTCCGCAATCTCTTGTGTGCCAGCAAACAGAGTTCGAGACCTCCCTGCTTAAGTCTGCTTACAGTAAATAGCTTGAGCTTTACCAATTAATGCTTACCATAATTTCAGGGTGGCACCTGGGTTCTGAGTAGGCCACACTGCATCGTGTGTTCCTTCTTGGTAACTTTTGAGGTCATGTTCCATCTGCATTAGTCCTGCTCCAGTTCCTGCTCCCTTTTGTGCTTTGGGTCGCATCTCCGTCTCCGACCCATCGCCTGTCGCAAGGCTATGATTGCAAAGCCAACCGTGGCTTTTCGATCGCGACGTCCGTGGGGACCGAGGCATCATCGGGGCTTCCGGTTCCGGTTCGGACGACTCGGGGGTGGAACGCTTCGTCGGCAGGTGACCGGGTTCGGGATGGTTCGGGTGTTTGGGGAGAGAGGGGGATCCAAGGATCCCTGACAGGAAGACCGTAGGAAGACCCGAAGGAAGACCCGAAGGAAGATCCTAAGGTTATGAACCGTGCTCCATCCCTGCAGTTACCAGTTCTTGTTGAATGAGGGTCCAGCGCATCTGTTCATTCTATCTCTTGCACCTTCAGCCTCTCAAAGCATCAGCGCAGTCCGCCAGCAGCCTTGCTTCCTCGCTACTTTTTTTAAAGCTTCACATGGCTGTAGTTGTGCAATATTTCACTTGCGTGTCACATGATGATGCATCGCACAAGCAGTCAATAAGGTTTTTGATGGTTTTACAAACAGGGAACCTTGGAGCTGTTCTTTTCTTAGTCCTCCGGGCTGCTTGTTCAGATTCACCAGATGAAACCAGTCAGGCAGTGGCGGAAGCAGCTGGCGTCCGAAAGCAACAGGATCTTTGTCTCACTTCGAGACTTGCCAGATGATTTAGACTATTCAGACATTTTAAACTCTACCGTGATCGTGGATGCCCATGATTGAATCCTATTTATGATTGTGCAGAGTCCAGGCCCAGGTTGGTTCCAAATTGATGGTGGTCCAATCGCCCATCTGAACATAATATCTGAACAACAGGAGAATCACATGTTCTTCTACTGGAAGGGTGAGCAGTGGGTCGGCTCTTTGTTTCTCTAGTTCTGAATGAAGTGCACTTGCCTCTTTCCTATTCTTTTGCTCGTGTCCCATGAGAGTTTGGATTCATCTGAGGATCATGGTCGCACCAGGTGTCAATTCAAGTGATACGACAGCTCCTTGACTGCGCACCATATGACAAAGACAGGCTAGCCCGAACTTCGGACATTGCCAGAATCAGCTGCAGGACATTTTGTTAGTAGTTTTTCGCGGGTATCATTTACACCATGCGCTCTGACATGGTGGCAGCGGTGTTACTTGGAGCAAATCATAGCAAAGCACATCGTCAATCCGTTGAGTTCATCGTCAATCTGCAGTCGACGTGTGGGGCCTTCGACCGGCGCGACATCGTCGATCTCCCAGGTCCACATCGTCTCTCACTTTGATCCTCAGGTGGGAGCCAAGAACTTCCAAAGCCAAAGGAACGTGCAGTGAAAACCGATGTTATGATAGATGCTAGCTAAATATAGCTAATTACTACAGACTTCCAGTGAGTCCTAGTTGTTATATACATGTTATTACTCTTCCAGTGACCGTTTTCTTATTTTTTTGTAATATAACTTCTTTGTACATTGGAGCCAAACCTCAGTGGTTTGTTGGCTGAACGGATTTGGAGATACATTTGTGGGGCACTGGAGTCCTGTTCTTTTCGCTTCCAGACCCAGCATGGTCCTCTTCTCCTGGGGAGAACGAATGTTCATCCAGGGTGTCCAACATTCACACATGGTGTTCTTTTGCGGCAGCACTCAGTGTATAAAGTTAGGGGCACGACACGCAGCAGCGACTCTGCCGCGACTCCGTGTTGTCCAGCTCCCAACTGCATTGGCACACTTATCTTATCCTGTTGTTGAATGTTGTCACCATCCATTGATGGGTAACGATGGGTGTACGTTCTTTGCTCTTCAAGGTCTAGAGTTTGGCATTTTTCCATCATTCAGCCTGGGCAGGTTAAAACAGCCATGCTGCAAAAAGCAGGCTGGCTGCTGAATCGGAATAACTGGCACACAGTAGTTGATTGTCGTTTCTAGTCACAACCTGGGACCTTCGCTGGAGCAACTGCGCCGTTTGGGGGCCATGTAGCCGCGAAGAAGAACCACGTGCATGTGGTGATCAATTTCTAGCTCGGAATTCTGCACACAGGGCGACCCACGTTGCATGCAGATTGGCAGAACAAAATCAGATCGCTTTCTTTTTGCACCGGTCCGCCAGTCCAACTGGCCGTGGGGCACACCACTCGACAGTTTCTGCAGTCCCTTCACAACAAGGCAGGCGGAGCCGCAGAGCACAGGTGGGGATCAAACTTGAGGCCCCAAAGACGGTCCCTTCGTAACGGTACCGAACAGGACCCACGGTCTGCACCTTCTTCGAGGCATTTGGGCCACGAACATTGCATCGGAGATTTGGAGAAAGCACCAGACCATAGAAGGGATGTTGTGGGCCACGCTTGCCAAGTGAGTTTATTACTACAAAATACTCAGCAGGATTCAATACATGATCTCAAACTTGAAGCACTCGTATGTTGAGGTACCACATCAGAAGATCCAGAAGGGTCCTTGTTCCTTTGCAACAGCGGAGCATTTGATGATCCTTTTGGCCATGGATCTGAGGTTCACCGTGATACTGAGGTGAATGATGGTTGCATGGAGGTCAATCTCAACCACATCACTCAAGCTCCCAATTTCTTGAATCCAGTTCTTTAAAAGCGGCTGTTCTTCACGCCACATGCCGGTCTCGCCTCCTTGTGATGGGCCGCCTAGCTGGAAGCAGAATAAGAAGCATGCAACCCTGAGTCACCAGTAGGTTCATTTGTGAATCACACCAACTGGTGAAGCATGGCGACTGACACGCTAGGAGTTCTGGCAAGTCAAAATCAACATGAGACTATGCAGAACCTTGAGTCGTTACTCCTGGTTGAGCCATCCCAGCGGCCAGCACATCAAACTACCGGATTTTGCACATCGAGAGAAGATCATGAATAGATAATCCCACAACCTGAACACAGACGCATTTTTGTTCATAGAACCTTCTGCTCGCTGACCTTTGCCATTGGTGAAAGCCTCAGGGATTGAGGGGCTGGGGCTAGTGACTTGTGGAGGATGGCTTCTGGAAAGGAATGCTGTGCATTGTGCATGCCCGCTCGAAATAGGCCATCGACTCTGAAACATACAGGGCGGTGGCATTTTGCATTGTTTCCGGCTGTGACTTTCTGGCATCTCATCTTGGAATTTGATGGAATTTGAATATTGTACTTGGTGGAAAGACCTGTATCCCCAAACTTGGCATTTCTCACGACTAAGGCACCGGCAAAGCTCGTCGACCGACCAGCTCCTTGCCACTGACTGCCCAGGCGGAGGTGCCCTCCGCAGGTGTTTGTGTCCAGTGAAAAGGAAAGATCCTCATGGCATGCCTGGCCTTCTACGATGGGGATGATTTGCATCAGTACGAGCCACTTCCGATGCGTCTTACTCTGTGTTTTAACCACCAAGATGGATGGTCCCAAATTTTAAGTCTTGCCTTGCCATCTTTAAGGAGAAGGCATTAAGCATATGAAATCACTTGCCAATCTTGTCAATTCATGGCTAGTCTACTTGGTGCGGAGCACAGACTGTTCGGGTCATGTCTCGGCCTAGGTTTGACCTGTCGGGCGAGATTGGTCCACTAGAGTGGTGCAAGTTTGTAGATCTCATCCTGGTTGACTGGTTGCGCTTCAATCTCTTCAATAGGCCGATAGGATCCACCAGGCTAGTCAGTGGTAAATTACTGAATTACTGTACAAGCTACAAAACTGTTACAAAACATATCAATACATATTCAAAGGCAATAAGGCAATAATTATATATATATATATGATTTACCCCACTCAAGGTTCAAGGTTCGCAGTCTAGTTGCACGACACCTCTTCTAAAAATATCGGAAGAGATACTCTACAGATAGTAGAACAGATGTTTTAGCCCCAAAGTGGTTCATAGCAGATCTCTCGGTGACGAGTCCCGCGAGGTCCGACGAGTCCCTCCGCTCGAGTTTCTGTGCTCGCCAGGAATTTTGGGGTTCTTGGCGCTTCCTCGCGCGTCAGGCGGAACGCCATGTCCAGGCGCGGCAGTGACGCAGAAGGCCCTTTTTTGAGCAAACCGGGGGGCCAATCCGAAAACACGGCGACACAGACAGCTACACAGCAAATGCTAGCAATGCAACTACCCTTTCCAGCGAGGCCAGGAGGAGGCTGAGGGAAGAAAGGCTTCCATCTATATAAATTATATACTCCGATGCACAACCTGAGTGCAACTTGAGCGGACCAAACGGATCTGTCACCAGGTTTGATGCCGCCGCCAACAAGGCAGCTAGAACGGCTGGGGCGCGGAGTGCCCAGTTTGTTGTCGCACCACCAACGGTCTCCAGGTTTGCCAGGGGTTTGTTGTGAAACGCTTGAAAGGGTTTGGTAGGATTTCCACTTGCGCAGTCGCATCAGGTCATCCTCCCAGCTCTTCAGCTCCCTGTTTTGAGATGTTGCTCCAAAAACAGGTCCAGGTCCCTTCACATTAGCGCAGCAAGCAGGGTTTTGGTAGATTGGATGGGGCTAACAATAAGTAAGCCATGCCGAATGGCCAGAATCAAACAGGCTTAGGAAACCATTCTATGAGATGGCATGATTTGGCGGCTCATGCCACCTGTGAACCGACACATCGAAACAAACGATCCCTGCAGTTTGTGGTTCTCCCACCTGGTGGAATAGCAGTGCTGGCGTTCTACTGTTTCAACTAAGCTGTTGATTGAAACAGAGCTCAGTGGGTTCTTGCAGCCAACCAGAAGCTACTAGGAACAAAGCATCGCTACTAGGAACACGAAGCTACTAGTAGCTCCTGGCATTACTACTAGGAACAAGAAGCTACTAGTAGCAAGGATGCTATTATATAGGGAGGCCATCGCAAGTAGGTTGGAGGCCACAAGAAGCTACTAGGAGCAAAGGGTGCTGTTCATTGAAACAGAGCTCAATGGGTTCTTGCAGCCAACCGCAGAATTGTTCATTTTATAGGTTCACTCAAAGTGCCGATCTGTCCATTTTGAAAGCTCTGACAAGTGACATGATGCTCTCAGGTAACTGCGGCGCCCAAGCCCAAAGCCAAAGTAGCTTCGAAAGCGGCCGCGGTGAAAGTGGCAGGGAGCTTAGGTTTGGGTGATAGCTACCTGGCTACCTGTGCTCATCCAGGTTGATGGAGATGGTGTCGCCGGAGAGTCGTTTCATCCAATATCCATTGGGCTGAACTTGTGAGGTGTAAGATAAAGGCAGTGACAGGTCCGGTAGGGCACATCCCACAGCAAGACATCGAAAAAGCTGCGCTAGGCGCCGAAGTCGAAGGCAAGTGCGCCGCCACCCAAGTTGACAACCTTAGAGGCGACTGCACAGAGCTGGGATTTAACGAGAGGGTCATTGGGACATATTGGGATTTAGGATTGAAGTCCCTAATCAATGAGTTGGGGAGATTGGTCAAGACTTCAAACCGATTGATTCGCTTGGGCGAGCACAGCATGCAAGCGCAACCGATGGTGGGGTGGTGGTCCAACCACCGACTTGGAGCGAGCGTCGGTGAAGAGTCGTGGTGATGAGTGGATGGTCTAGTCTAGTTTCAGAAGGTCTGTCATTTGGTCTGGATGCCGTGGATGGATTAGGATGGATTAGGGGCGGAGCGACCTTGGGAGGACAAAAAGAAATTCGTAAAGATGTGGGAGATGAAGATTGACGACAAGGATTGCGAGGCAAACCGCTGCACGGATTGCTGGCAGATCCTGTTTCGTTCGAATCCTTTGAGCACAGGTTTTGCAGATTTCGTTGGATCAACTATGCATGCTCCAGCAGGTTACTTGATCTCAGTAGGCTGATTTTTGGGGTTCAACCGGGTCCTGTGGTGAAAATCGAAGCACCGCATGTGCCCTGCTGCCTGGGGTTTTGTTGGAGGAGTCTTGCCCTGCTATGCACAGGTCCAAGCTGAAGCCAACAAAAAGGCCAAGAAGGCGGCGTCCCAAGCGTGCGGAGGTTTGAAGCAGCATCTTCGTTTCGAGAGCACCTTTTGTGAAGGTTTGCTAGGGATACGATGAAGCAGCAAACCAGCACCAACGCAGCAGCAACAGCAGCCAAACCAGCAATCCAAGAGCAGAAGATCAGCAGCCCCGCATTGCACATTGGTGTATGACTGGCTTTCGTTCCTCCTTCTCAGGTACTGTATATATTTGTTCACGTGGGAGTAAGCCAGTGTTCGTTTCCTCCTTACACTGCAAGTTCGCAAGTTCATGGTCGACCAGATGATTGGCACCCCTTGCGCCAGAAGGTGTGCCGGTTTGGTTTCGTGTGTGCATCAACAAAGTTTCTGGAACACCATGTTTGCATGGCTTCACTCCAAGTGAGCTGCCGCGTTTTTGGGGTGAAGGTTTAACCCCCCAGATGATTCTCATGACTTTGGTTCTGAACTGGTGCCAGTTTGGTTGAAAGTTACAGTAAAGGGAGTGTGGGGGAATCAGGGGAGATCACATCTCATCTCAGCTTTTTATCTCTGATGCTGAAAAGGAAGAGAGGTGCAGCACACCGGTTTCTGCACGCCGTTCCAGGACCTCGAAACAGCATTGAAGAAACTCCAGACTGATGAGACCTACCTCAAAGTCAAAGAGGACGCTGGTTTGGGTGCAAGGTACCAGAATGATCCAAAATGCTTGTAGAATCTTGTAGTATATCGACGTTCAGATTTGTAGACAGCTGCAGACACAGGCTAGTTTCATGGTCAGCCACACCATTCTGGGGTTTGATGCCGGGGATCCTTGGTTTCGGGGTGTCGGGACCTCTCTAGCTTGAAGGGATGGGCAAAGTGAAAGACTTGAAGGGGATGGCTAGAACTCATACTGAACCAACACAGACACAGGCTTGGCATGTCGTGGCAATGCAACATGATGCAACCTACCTTGCCGAGGAGATCAAGGAGATGGAGCTTCAGGGCAAGCGTGAGGGACTGAGCCAAAGATGACTTCTTTTTCTTTTCGTTTCCTCTGGAGCTGTCACGGGAACTGAGCTTTGTGGGTTCATTAATATCATCCTTCGGATTCCAGGGCTGCATGCTGCATTGAGCGGCGGCCCAAACTTCCCATGTAACAATTTGACGAGAGATCGATGCAAGATGCCTCCGCGAAAGGCAAACATGCAGTTGTGCAAGATTTGCAAACTTTTCATGTGCGAAAGCTTGCGAAATCAGTTCTGTCCGCAAAAGCTTGCTTTTGCACAGAATACAGCACTTGAAAACAAAACCGCGAGCCCCGAACGTGCTGCAAAAGAATAATGAAGAACCCATTAGAACCAATTTCCAATAGATTTTGAACAACACTGAACAACCTTGAGCGAGTCCAGAGATCACATGAAACGACCGGTAACTCTCATTCACAGATTCATTTGCCAGAGACTCATCTTGCAAGAGTCCTCACACATGTTCAAGGTCGTTGTTCAACAGTACCATCACAAACCATGCACCATGCATCACGATGGAATCTTTCTTGCCCAAATTCAAACCAATAGCCTCTGTTTTTGTGCTGTTTGGTGTAACCTCCTGTATGCATTTTCTTGACTGATCGAGAACATACAAGAACGAGCCCATGCAAGGCGAGGCTGAGCGAGCAGCGCTGGAGAAGAACAGTCAAAAGGCAGATGCTAAGGTGGGATCACTCCTCCCACTGGAACGTTTGCATGCCCCCGTGTTTCTTCACCTTCTTCTTTTGTTTAGTCTCTTTTTTGTGACTAGTGACATCTAGTGACTAGATATTGCTTCTGGAGCGGCAGGCTGCAGCACCCAAAGTAGAGATGCGCAAGGTCACTGTTGGGGCGTGCCGACGGATTGGGTCACAGAGCTTGAGCAACAGACTATAACAGGGGCACGCCCGCAGAAGTGGGTTTTGGAACATGCTGCAGGCATTCGCAGGCTCTTGAGCTACATCACAATTCCATGTGCAATGGTCCTTTTGGACGATTGAATTGCATGGATTTGTCTCTTGCAAATGAAATGAAACTTGTGACAGTAGCCAGCGACATTGAGTATAGCAGAATCTCCTTTTATTTTGCCGCTTTGAACTGGTGCTGGTTGAATAGCCTGCATGTATGCACCACAGGAACCATTGCTTATGCATCGTAGTCTTGTCCTTCATATGACTCATGAGCGTCAGGAAGTCTTATTGTGTCATGTTGTGTCGCCATACTAAGATAGTAGGCAAATGTTCTTGACCTTGGCTGATCCCCCTGAAAGGCAAAGACACAAAGCCTTGCACAAAATATCACAAAATTATTCCAAGGAAAGCGTGAGACTGATGCTGCGATGCCCACATTCCATAATATTCCCACTTGGGAAATGGGCAAGCTACCCTCCTAGCTTGTCCTTTCTAGAGAGAGTATGCTCGCGATTGTTCTCATAGGTTCTGCATGGTTCTGCTATTTTAGCTCTCCTATCATCAACCCAGAAGTCATCTTGAGGTTCATTGGTGGCTTTGCTGTGGTGGTTTCTGTTGGGAAGATGAACCATCCCCAGAGATCCTAATCCATCCTATCAAGATAGGGAAACCTCCCAACCCCCCCTTAAGAAGATTTAAGAAGCAAAATAGACCAAAACCCATGGGTCACGCAATTAAAGTACACACCCATATCGAGAGATCCGCCTTCTCTTCGAACAGCATGACTGATCTCTCGAGGCCACAGAGGAGACAGAGGAGGCCTCCGAAGAATTGCTCAGGGAGTTGGAAGCGCAGCTGCATAGCACTGGCAAGGACCCAAAGGGTGAGTTCGAAGAAAAGGCGGATTGGCTACAGGTTCCGTCAGAGTTCCGTCAGTGTGGTCGTAAGGCTTTGCAATTTCTTGGCCGGTGGCGGTACGAGTCTACTGATGCTTCTGGGCAGTGGAAGCCAATCCAATGATCCCTTTTCAGAGTCGCAGCGGTGGCCGTCCTCGTGTTGCTGTGCATGGTCCGATAGCCACCTTGGCTCCGATGTTCCGTGCATGATCTTATTCTAACCCATGCGGTCCATGCTTGAAACTCCCATGACCAGACTGATAGAAGGAAACCGACAGATGCTCGTGAATACTTGATGAGCTGAACTCGACATGACTCATGACGACTGGTGTGGGGTTGGTGTTTCGCCCAGGAAATTGAAGAATCCACACAGGATCGTTTCCAGTTTGAAGTTTCCTGGAGGCTGTTAACATTTGCCCTAGATGCCATGTCCCTACAAAACCTTGGATGTCCTGCCATCGGCCAACGAAAATGAGATTCGTTCTGCCTACCGAAGACGCGCGTTGACAACGCATCCAGACAAAGGAGGATCAGCTGAATCTTGGATTGAAGTTTGCTTTGGTATGCTTTGGTACTCATATCACAGCACACAACGGTTTTCTTTTTGTGACACTAGGTAAGGCCTGTTTCACTGAAGCATTGAATCCCTCTCTACTGGTAGACACCATCACTACTGGGAAAAAGTGGAGATTCATGTCTTCTTCTGCATTGTTTGGCCATGTTCGGACCTTACAGCTGCCCATACCTGCTGGCTGCTGGCTGCTTAGGGCCCGAGCATTACTATACCCACCGATGAAAGTTCTTCCTGCACCAAAAAAACATCATATGTTACGTACCAAGAGTGTAGAGAGCAACTGGAGATGTTGCATAAAAACTCTGCAACATGTCACGACGACGAGTTTAAAAAGTAGTGTGTTCTTTTACACGTGCATAGACTCCCATCTGACTAGCTACAGAAGACAGCTCCGGAAAGAGTCATTTAGCCGCTAGCTGTGGTCCAGCCATGGTGAAATCATTAGGCAATTCAGCAACAAGAGTTGCTGCAGTTGAGACTTGATTAGACTTGAATTGACTTGATCACCTTCCCTCCTGACAGGAAGCCTTCCGCTGTGTGGTCGAGGCCTTTGAGTCCTTGGTGGATGCCAATCGCCGCCAATCCCTGTCTGCAGTGAGTCCTGAGAAGCCCAAGCAGAAGCCGGAGCGACCGGGGCGAACTGGGCGACCTGCTCCGCCGACCGCGCGGCCCACACCGACGGGTCATGTGCCGCGTGCACCGACCGCGCGGCACGCGCCCCGTGCACGACCGAAGGGCCCATCCAGCGGTGATGCGGCGAAGTCACGGGGTGTGCCGAAAGCGGCCGCGACTTCAAAAGCTGAAAGCAGTAATCATGTGGACTATGATGAAATGCTCTACAGATTTATGTATGGTGAACCTTGGACTTTATTCTTCAGATTTTTGTTGCCAGGAGGCGCAGAGTTGTAAGCCGTTTGAGTTTCTCTCGAAAGTTGATTAACACTGCAAATGGACCCATTGAAAACCCGTGCTGCTTGTTCGCTTAGTGAGACGAATCGGACGAATCTTGCAGGAAAGGAAGAAGCCAAAGATTATGGCTGCTTTGCGTGAGCTTTCTGAAGAAGTCCTTCAAGGTTTCGCTCGATACCTGGAGTCCGACACCTTGCGCAAGCCCACACGCCTCGCTTTGGAAGCTTGTCCAGCGAAGAGGAGAAGAAGGAGGAAAGCTCCGATCACACAAGAGGAGTGAAGGGGTCTGAAGTCATCAGTGTTGTCGATTGTTAGCCCTACACGTCTTTAGTCTTCCTGATTGAACTCTTGTCAAAACTCATTGTACAGTGAAGTCCACCAATCACTGACCACCCGGCTCTGAGAGGAAGCGCAAATGCCCAAGTTGTCCAGGGGCATCGTGCGACAACACCGGCGATTGGTGAATGGCTACTACATTGATTACTCCGCGAGCGTGGGTTACTGAAGATGCATTGCATTTACATGCATTTACAGTAGATGCATTTCTCTTGCTATCTAATTTTTTGTTCATCTTCAACTGGACATTCTACATTGAACTGTTGAATCAGCCTGCCATCCAATTTCCCATGATCCAGTCTTATCAACCCACCTCAAAAGTTTGCCATCAGATTCATATTCAAAGGCTTGCATCACAACCGGAGGCTCGTACACCTTTGCTCAGATGGTTTTTTGTTGGATCGATCATTGCCTGGTGGTTTAGTGCTTGGTGTTGATCTCCTCAGGCTTTCACTGCATGGTGATTCGATCGCAATCAGTCAGAAGCCTGGACGAGGCCATCGACTTTCATATCAGTTTAGTCTCTCGCACTGATCATTGGCAGATCTTTGAGAAGTCGGCCGCTCCACCAGCTTTGTGCACGCCAACGTGCGGTAGCTGCCGTTGGTCTCTTTTCTAGCTCTTGTCCATTTCAAGAAGACTCCTGCCAAGGTCAAGGTGCGGCAATGCTTCCTTTCAAACTTGAAGTCTGGAACCGGTGCCTCGCAGTGAAGCTTCATTTTGGCACTTCTGCTTCTTGCCGTTTGGGCCTAGAATAGACTATGACTTAGACTATGATATAATTACTTACCCCGTGTACATGAAACACTCGATTTGTTGAACCGGGGGGGGCTGTCTAATTGACGCCTTGTGCAAAAGTGGTGGATGAGTGATAGGCTTGGCTCCAAGATAGACTGCAACTTACATCATAGAAGAATGGCACATTCTCACTTGGTAGACTGTCACCCAAATCTCAGCCCGCAGAAGAACAGAGTTGAAGATTATTCATGACAGGAATTTGCTGATTCCTTGCCATCCCATAGACCACGATGGCCCACCGATGGAGTTTTTTCAGAGTCAAGACCTAATGACACGGTGAATCACGGTGACCTCCAAGCCTCTCGATCTCTCTGATCAGATCCCATAAGGCCATTTGCATTCATCTTCTAGGTTGGAGGCCAGCAGTTCCTAGGTTGGAGGCCATGCGTCGCATCCGCCCAAGGTTTGGGGCCCTCCTTACGCGAAGCCATCCACACCGTGGTCTCGGAGCGGCGTGCGGCTCAGCTCCCACGACTCCGCATGGCCTTTCGCTTTCGGAAGGGGCGGCACATGTCTTTGAGCTTCAAAGAATCCGAGCCCTGGAGATGCAATGAACATGTAACATAGTTCCTTTGTTTCTAGCGAGATGTTGGGTAGCTTTCTGGTATGACATGGACTATGGATGACTCCAAATGGGGAGCCTGCAGGACTGTCCACCGGGTGGTCTCAAAGACCGGCATTTGGTTCGTTCTAGATACCGGCGACCAGTAGAGGAACAACAAGTTTGATGCCTGTGATTTTCAACTGGAGGGAGTTTCTGGGAGCTTGGGCCAACAATAGCAACCTGGAAAAGACGTTTGTGGACAGGTGCAAGGCGGTTTCTTCGATGCACAGAAATCCTTTTCAACAGGCCACTGCATCCCCTGCTGAAGCTCAACTAGTTTCACCGCATTTCACAGACATTTGCTTGAGAACTTGGATTGTTCTAGAAGTGGGCTGCCCATTTCAACATCCTCCATTAGTTCTCAGGATTTGGATGGCTTCATCACCACGTGGCAAGACATGGCCAAGACATACCACGTGCGCCAGCCGCGGCCGCCGCGTGACGCCCACGTGGCCGCCCGGCGCCGGACTCGCGTGTCGCACGAGGAGAGGGCGAAGAGGACCGAGGCAAAGTTCCAGGCGCCGTGGTGCAGAAGCAGAATACTCCAAGAGCCGGGGCTGGGCAAGGGCATCCCCAACCCACCCAATGTGAAGTTACCCAAGTAATTTGTGAACATATGTGAACCCTCCAAGATGGATGAGCTCTCCTGCGTCCTTGCTACTACAGTATATAACCAGATACATCCAGATACTATAGTTAATGTTTAATTGCTTCTTAGCTTACCCGGCTTGTCCCGCACACGAAAGAATATACGTACTGTATGTCATATCTTCAAGCGTTCCCCTCAGGCCAAGCTCTCTTTTCTCCGCAAAGCCATCTCCCGGACCTTGCTCCACTTGGCTAAGCGCCGCAAGCGCACCTGCAAGAAATGGGGCGTGGAGGAGTTGCCGGATGGCATCACAGCGACTTGGGTGCAAACGAGTTGGATCGACGCCCAAACGGCACAACGGGCGGGCTCAGGCACCCAGACAGAGCTGAAGATCAGAACAGCTGCTTTCATGGTGGTGCATGGGTTTGAGTGGTCGAGGAAGCCTTGAGGCACTCCCTGAAATAATCATGGAAGTGGAAAATGATCCCTTGGATGACCAGGACTCAGAGATGGTCAGAGATAACGTCGCACTTGGAATCTAGTATATATAAATGTAATGATGTTAAGCTTGTTTGCGAAAGAAACGGTCGGTAAAGTGTGGGGGAGATTCGGATTGGGCTCAACCCCTCGGTGAAAACCAAGCCCTTCCGGCCCACGCTGGCGACGCACAGCCAGTGCCCTTCCACCTCGGTGTGCTCAGTCGCCGGAGCCGCTCAGGTGTGCTCCTTCCAGGAACCTCAAGACTCGCTGTGTGCCATGGTGCGATTGTCGCTTGGCGAAGTGGATGGTTACTACACAGTTCCGATTAAAGAGTTTGTTTTGGACAGCACCTGCTGGCAATAGACAGTTTGCGCATTGCGTATCTGACAGTTCCCTCTGAAAAGCGTAAATTCGCGAACTCCAAGTTGGCTTCAGTATGAGGGAATGATGCTGGACAAGTAAATACCATCCAATATTTTCTAATTGTTTTTGGCATTTGAACAGTGAGGATTTAAAAACGCCTTAGAATCCAGAAGGACACTACCTCCAACTATGTTCCCAACGTGAGGAAGTGCATGGAGTGAAGTCAAACAACCACACAACAACCTACTGATAAGATAAACCAAAGAGTAACACCTGTCAACACCCTGAAACATCCATCTTTCATTTTCGTCACTTCTACACCTACTGGTAGTAACTTCTAGGTCTTCTTGTTTTCTTGCCAGGTCCGATGGCACGCAGCGCCCCGGGCCCTACCGCAAGCGGCTCCGCGAAGCGGAGCGCGACCTGACGGAGCTGCGGCGCCTGGGGCGCAGCGGCGACGCGGCGCTGCTGGCGGAGCTCTTCCGCCGCGATGCGGATGCCATGACGGCCTTCTTCGTGCAGGGCCTGGGACAGCCTAAGCAGAAGCGCCAGAAAAAGCGGGGCGCTCGGATGAGTTGAAAGGGTGGATGATAATGACTCAAAGCACGGCGGTGTGCTCGGGTTTCTTTCAGTTTTAGTGTGGTTGGGAGTTCAGAATGCAACCTGTTCATAGACATTCTTCCTGCACCACTTTGGAACAGAAGATACAGAAGAACACCGCATACCTACAAGCTGTATTTGCCATTGAGATTGTGGATCCTCTTGGGTCCTGGGTGTTGCAGATTTTGGTCACTATGCGGGCAATGGGCTGATGCCTAGTGGTGAGCTCCTGGGCGTTTTCCATGCCATGTTCCCGGCTGACAATCATGGATCAGTTGGCCCTGCTGGGTTGTGAATCAGTTACTGTAGTGCGGACCAGGTAGGTGGCCTACTTGTATTATAGGCAGATACCGCTGCCCGAGCAGGACGCCGCCTTTTGGAAGGTGCATTTGGGTGGTTGGGATGAACGCGCTATAACACTGAGGGTTAAGAAATGTCAAGATGGATTGAAGGATGGCTTGCTTCAAATAGAGCTGGCCTTATGTGCCTCATGGGGCTGGAAGTTGTTTGTTTCAAGATGCTAACCTCGTATTTGCTTTCCAACACTAGTAGAGAGGGGAGAGAAAGTTCCCCAACAAGAACCAGGTGGGTGTCATACGCCCGCTTACAATCGTCTAGGGCCATGGTAGTGGAATTTGGTGTACGCTGCAATTTCCAGGTCCTTCCTATGATGGACTGCGTTGGTACAATTGAGACCTTGGGCGGAGAATGTATATCAATGGCCATGTTGGTTCCAGGCCGCATCATACAGTATTATTGGGAAGGCCGAAGCAGGATATGGTGAGAATCACCATGTCGCCAACACATAGAATCTCCGACAGTATTTGTGTCCATCCGCAGTGGACACCTGAAGTTGTGGGTTTGGCATACTGACTGACTTGTGGGAGGTGCAGAAAACTAGGAAACCAGACCTGCTAGGAAACCAAATCAGACTGAACACCTGGTTGAATCCAATCTCTTGAACACCAGACCTGCCAAGACTCCGCGACTTGGGCTGGTTGAATGAGTTGCTAGGCTGGTGCACTGGCATCGCTGGAGATTCTGAGCAGTGCCACACCCTTCGTGTTGCCGCAGTTGCCAGTGCCACTGGGTTTCAGAGAGAAGAGACAAACGAAGAAATCTCACCAGCTGGTTCCAGCAAACCACCCCCAAAGAAGAAGCAGGAGACAGCACTATCTTCACAGATTGTGATTTGCACCAGAAACCGTAGTGGGTCACCCATACCGGAGGGATTTACATCGCGAGATGTCAGGAAGAAACTGCCAAGGACTTGACAGGTGACAAAACATTTGCGCTACAAACACAAACATACATATATATATATATATACGGTTCATGTAGTTTGAATGGTCCAAGCAGCTTGGGGAATCATCTCCAAACAATCAATGGTAGTACAACAACGTTGTTCAAGCGCTTCGGTCGTTTCCCATCCTCAGGTTAGTCGACCTTTTTGCAGATAGCAAGCTTGGTGCCCCTGCACAGAAGGCCGGGTGGCTGTGCAGGGAAGCTTGTGAGAGCAGATATTTGCAATGGTCCTGAGATGCTTACCTATACAAGAGTTCACCAATTTGGTATCCAATAGTTCCAGTCCCACACTCGGCAAACCACTGGGACTGGACAATTGCCGGGAGGGGTGGACTTGTATGGATTTGTTTTATACTGTTCATTGAAGAAATCCTGGACCAGCTGGGCTTGGTAGAGACACTCCACAACAAATTTGGAATTGAGGCTTTGGGCTGGAAACGCATCGGAACGGCGGAACGGCTGCTTCTTCTGTATATCGAATCTGTGACAAGTCAGGCTAGCCATGGCAGACCTTTTTCGGTTGGTCGAAGACCGTTGGGACCATTGAGCATTGTCGGCCGTTTTCGCTGGCCGCCAGGCAGCCAAGGCCATCGTTAGTCACTTGCAACCGAAAGGCCATGGCATCGCCTCGGAGGCCGAACGAGACACCGAGAACCACCGAGACGGAGGAGCGCGAGAATCGTGGGCATTCGGAATTCTCTGCTGAGCGTAGGGTGGTATTTTTCCTTCAGATGTTTTTTGTTTTTTTTGAGCATGTTTTGGTTTTTTTGTTATATAGAAGACTGGCATTTTGTTAAGTTGAGGTGATGAAAGAGGGGACCATGTGGCCAATTTCGACGATCCAAAATGATCCGAATAGGTTCAATCATCATCGCTCTCCGAAGCTTGTTCCTCGCTGTCCAGGTGCTACCCACACTCTTGGCCGGCATGCAGGTTGGGCTCTAGCAATTATGCTTTTTGCTTGAATACTTGGGTGCAGTACATGAATTGGTGTTGTTTGTGAATGAGTTTCTGACATGATGGGTCTTAGAGTCTTGCACCGAGTCGTTTTTGGTTCCTTGTGTAGGATTTAGCAACGGCTTCCGCTGGCTAAGCTTTCTTGAACTCCACCGGCCAGGACAAACGGTGGAAAGTCAAAGCTGCTTGTAACTGGGCCATAATTGGACGCAGCAAACTCCAATTTTGTACCAACGAAGGGCAACTGCCTTTGAAAGAACAGTTGGCACTTCTTGCCACATCCAACATCTTTCCAATCAGAACGGGTCATTCCGAGCATCGATACCAAGGCATCGATGTGCTGCTGCCATGCCTTCATCAGATGTTTGTGGGTCGCCCAGATCACGAGGTGTCGTGCCGTTCGCCCTGATCCCGTGGGTGAATTGCGCACACCAATGGGTTCGTTGGACTGGGCGGACGACTCACAGCTCCTGAGAAGAAGCAAACTCCATGCTGACTGTTGGGATCACACAAATCATTTGACAAATCCATTCAATTCCTCCCCACCCAGAAACACAGTTATAGCATGGCGAGTAGAAACATCGTCTCCGTGGCCAGTCCGTGGCCCGCACCCAGGAATTTACGCCCGCGCAGCTGGCCGAATCGTTGCCTCAGATCCTCACTCGCCTCGCTGAAGCGGCGCTGGAGGTGCTCCGGCGAAGGACGAGGGGGTGACCACGGAATACCACGGAGATCGGAGCTCTGATTGATGATTGAAGACTGGAGTAAGAAAAATCTACTTAGTAGATATTGTGCGTAGATCTTCGAAAAGTCTCTCTTGAGTACTGCGTTAGATTGGATTGGGGAGTAGCAGTATAACGAACCCCTTGTTTCTGGATGTTTCTGGTAATTATAGTAGGTCTAATCTGCTACAAAGAACAGCTTGATGAGGAGGCTACTGCATGGATTGCTTTACTGTCGCTTTCTACATATTTTATCATTGATTCTATTCACAATGGATTGCTTGATCGCGATTGGCGATCCGAGAGTCCACCAACATGGCCTTGGTGTCAGGTGCGGGCAGAGATTCGGAGCGCTACCAATGCCCGGACACCAGGTTGAGTGCTGCCTGAGACAGGAACATGGAAGAAAGAGGTGGGCATTAGGTGACTAGTAACAAGAAGCTATTAATTCTAATTAAATTCTTATTGTTACTAGTAGTAAGGCACTTGTTTCTAGTAGCTTCTTTGTTACTACTAGTAAGGCACTTGTTACTAGTAGCGTGGCACTTGTTACTAGTAGCGTGTGGCTGGTGTAGAGAAAACGGAACTCTCAAGTTTGAGAGAACTGTGGGGGGAATCGGGAATCAGCCTGCACATGCCCACACCTACGGTTTGGCTTTGGAAGTTGCCTGGCCTGAGGCCGTTCTGAGGGAGATCGGCAACCTGGTGGCAAGTCCGGAGATCAAAAAGCTCTCCCAGGAAGCCTGTGGGGCTTGGATCATGTTGGATCGACATTTGGACATGAACAAACATGAAAAAAACGGGTAAAAAAGGACCATCAACCTTGGGTGAGATAGATCGACCTTGGTTTTCTTGGATCTTTACAGACTGACTTACTTGAGTCTGTCTGTGAAGTTGAGGGCAACAGATTCTGCAATGTTACCGAAGGCTGGACACTTGGAGATCTGACTGAACATGGTTGACATCTTCAAGAGAAAGACGACGCAGTGTGGATATTCCTGTCCTTGCACCCCCTCAAGTGTCACGGTGAGACCAGATTTTTCTGATTTCCTTCAGTATGTACGCCAAAATACTGTCCTGAAACTGCTTTGGCACCGCAGGACCTGGTCACTGCGTTGGCTGAACCTACAAATCAGAAGCATACACAGGAGCCGAAGGGGTCAGGGTTGAAAGGTAAAAGCATGTCTTCTTGGGCCTTGGCGCTGTCGACTTTGGTTACCTAAGGTATCCCAGAGTAAAATCTTGGGGCGAGAGCATGCTACTTACTGTGGACCAGGGCTTCTGTTTTTTTCCCTGTGCTTTCGGCCAATGCCTGCATATTTATGCCGGGTGTGCAACTCCCATGTTTTGCCAGGATGTGCTGGCCAGAATGGGAAATCAGACCTTCATGTCCCTGATCGATGCGGCTCCGACCCGAGAGTTGCTTTGTAGCCGCGTCTCTGACTTTATGGGGACCCCCAAGTGAAAGTGAGCAGACTTTCCCGTCTACTCTGCAGTTTTTTGGTGTCTCCTTATTCATTCCTTCAAATCATTTCAAGCCTTTATCAACCATTTCAAAAGCATTCTAATCGCAGGGGAGGAATGCGCCCAGATGCGGGCTGGGGATCCACAAGGGATGTATATACATCATCGGTCCTGGTCAAAACGTCAAAACTATCTCAGCAAAGACCAAGCAAGCCATTCAGCTTAAAAACCAACGCAAGCCAACTAGCATCAACTAACCAAACCTTGCAACCAGCGATGCTCCGGACGATCTCCGTCTCCGTTGGTCATTGTTTGCTTCCCCTCCTCACTGAGGCTTCGCTCTCGCTATTGATGCCTATCGTAGTGAGAGGCTTGAGGCAGCGACTCTGACACTCGCTCGACAAATCGTCACACGAGGTTGACGCCTGAGCTGGGTGACGCCTGACGCTGAATGATAGGAAGTTCACTTAAGAGAATTCTTCGGGAGCGAAGTCGTCCAATTTTCCAATCCAGTCCTACTTTTTGCATATGTTTTTTGGAACCTTTGGGTACTTCTTGAGTCAACTTGAGTCCTCAAGATTTAGGAAGCGACTGGTGTGGTGTTGTTCCCGTCAAAGCTACACCCGTCATATCCATTCATCTATTATACAATCGAGTCGAGAGGACCCAATTCAATAATCAGGACTTTCGAGCTGACTTTTGAATGTTCACCCCTTGATTGCTTCACAAGGGCCTCTCGAACCATGTGAACCATTGATCCTTTTGGACCCGTTTGTCAGGGAAAGAGAGCCAGCCAGCAAGAAGTGGTCTGCACAGATCTTTGGTCTCGCTGGCTCTTTGGTCCGTTTGTGGCACTGTGCGCTCGTCATTAACTCTCCCTGCCTAGGCTCTGTGTGAACACACACTTTTCGCTGAAGCAAGGTAGTCCCCTAAGTTCAGAGCTTTCAACAGAATTCCAGGAGTTCATGCATCTCTATCCTGGTTGGAGGATGTTGGAGGTTGCGTGAATCGTTTTCAAAGCTATTTTGATTTGCTGCAAAACACGAGCGTTCCATCCAAGACTCTGAAAATCTGACTTTTCCTGTGAAAGCCGGCGCTCGTGTCATGCGAAAGGTCCTTCGAGGTGGATGTGTGCAAACCCTGCAACAACCTTGGTCCATCAAAACCATATCTACAGCATCCTAACCGTGCAAAACACTCAGCGATACGGAGTGTCCTTAACATTGAATGACTACACTGATGATCACTGATGAAGTTTGAAAAGATGTCAGCTTGGGGGGCTTTGAGCACTAATGAGCACTGGGAACAGGGGACTATAGGATCTATAGGGGACTCAGGTGCCTGGATGTCTAGGAATCCTCCGTTTTGGTAGTCCAGCTGCGTGTTGCCCACTTGGTCATGCCATTCCTTTGGAGTATGAGAAGCGGTCCTGACAGGGTCAACCTCTCAGTTGGTGCAGAACGCACGAGCTCCCGGAGGGTTTGATTCGGGAGATCAAGACTTGATCAGGCTGCTTAGGCCACGTCTGGGTTTCTTATGGTGCCTTCAAAGAGGTCTCTTCGAGCGAGGCCCTGTCCAGCCCTGGAAATTGGGGTGAATCCTAGAGATCCCTTGGTAAAGGTCGTGATGAGTGAGTGGGAGCATGGCCGACGGCCATGCACCTCTCCCCAAAGGTGGACTTCATCAAGCCCTATTTACCCATGGTTGTTGGAGCCTGAGATGACATGGAACAGCATGATTCGGCAGCTGAATCATGTGGCATCCAGCAGCTTTTCAAACAACCTCCGTTCATGCTCCTCTTTTAACAAGGGATGTGTTGGCACAGTATGGAAAGTGTCGAGAATCCAATCTGCCTAGATTTCCAAGGCACCCATGCTGGAGCAGGCGTTGTTCGACCCAGTTTCGGAGGCCGAGAAGTGTCCGTGGATATTAGGGCTCTGCAACGGTGGGTTTGTCCCAATGTCTTTCGATGCTTTTTGTTTGTATGCGTTTGAAAACATCCAGCTTTATTAATCAGTCAGAACTTCAACGATTAGACGTATTCCAGATGAAGGATATTGGTGAATCCTTCATATACCACCCAGAAGCGCCACAATGACTAACGCGTTTGTGAAAGAGCTTCTCAAAAACGATACTGTAATGGGGTCACAGTTGCAGAATTCTCTAGATTGTGGTTGAAACCAAACATTCAGATTCTAGGACACATCAATCAAGCAGACCCACAAGATCCCATGCGCCAGGTACTTTTCCTTCCTAATTCCTTCGCTCATAAAAAGAACTGAGCATGCAAGACGAGTAGGCAAACCCAGAGCTCACTGGCTAATCGAAACTTCTGCCGATGCTTATAGACAAAGTGGTCAAATAAGCCAGTTTGACATCAAAGAGATTTAGTCATCAAAGAGATCTAGTCAACAACTTGGCCCAACAAAGGCACAGCATTTTCTTCCTGACCCTTTGTCACCCACTGCGTCACCGCTTTGCGGCACCGTTTCTTCACCCTATGCTTCCTTTTTTGGTGTCCCCGTCCTCCCCTGCCTTCTTGTTATTTTGATTGTCCCCATTCCCAATGATTCAGATGGAAGGCAATGGTGCTACAAGGCACATAGCTAACCACTGGACTCTGCACTCAGCTTCGGCTTGTGCGATGCAACAATTCATAAGCTGGATCCTTTGGCGCTTTGCTCCCGCTAGACTAAACTTCAGGCTCGTTTTGGAACGATTCACCAGGATGACCCAGCTAGTTGAGAGTGAGATTTGGTCAGATGTGTCCTTTCCAACGCTCTGGTTACATGTAAAGAGAGGGGAGCTAGGTCACTTAGCAAGCTTGAACTCAATTATGAAAGCTTCAACAGCCTATCCGCTGAGTGGGTGAGCAACAGTCGGCCCATGCTATGCTCTAAGTACATGCTCCACATCCATTCTGCCCAAGATCGGTCGGCCTATGATGCCTAAGGGGCCACAAGGCCGGTCACGAGCCACGACCCTGCAAGACACAGGTCAAACGAGAGGCTGCAAAGACCTTTGGTGTGATGGAGCAGGCCAGGAGCTCAAGACCTGAATGGCATTTGATGAACATCCGTCTCCTCGGGTCTAATTATGGGGATCCCAAGTCCACCTGGCATGCGCCGAAATTCCGGGTCGAAGCCGCCATGCTCAAGACGCAAGACACATGAGCAGGGGGGTCAAGCAAACCCACAAACTCAAGCTAGTGCATTTAGATACCTTCTATTACCTTCTCAAACTTTGACGGGTGTCCAAGAGTCAACAGTGACAGATAGGCACAGGAACCTCACGGCATACTTCAGAAATCAGGTGAGCGAAACCGACAGACATCCCTTGGATCGACCCAGTGAGCATTAGTAACAATATGTAACAAACCATTCGTGACTCGTGACTTGGCATTTGCCTGCAATACTTCTTGCTTCGTAGAGCGGAAGGTGGGATCCGCATTCGACTTCGAGCGGTCGGTATGCCAGCCCTTCGGTCCTCGAAGCTGCAAGGAACTGTTGTACTTCCAGTTTGCCAAGAGGAACGTGGGCAGGGCAATCTCAGATCATATGTGCCAAGGATTGAGGAGGTCAGGCCGGCAGACAAGATCGCTGAGCCTACGGGCACTTCTGGACACACAGTTGCTTGGTTTGTGCAAGCTGCACAAGGGCAGCAGTTTGTGGTTTGCCCGATGCTAAGCTTCTTTGTAGAGCACTCCATCGCGATCAAGGTTGAGTCAGTCTTGCCCTGCGCGCAGCAAGTTGCCAGCTCTCCGATGAAGTCCGTGAAAGTGGCTGGCCAATGGTATCAAGGCCGCTGCGCAGCTGAGAGGACCGTCGCAGTAATCTTGTCTACTTCCTGTACCTCTTCATTCACGGTACAAGCTGTAGAGGGAAGTGCCAGGTTGGGGCGATGCTGTACAGAGGCATGGGTTGCAAAGAGCGTCGATGGCATTCCCGTGGTTGATGTGACTCAGTTGACTGCCCTTGTTGGAAGGACCCTGATCCTGCAACGTCCACATGAGAGGGTCTATGTGTTAAGGAGTCCTGAAGAGCAATTGAGCCGACTCTTGGTGGATCTCTCGGCTGAGTGTGGCGTGCGGCTCTTGGCAGCGCCTGCAGCACATGGTGCTGTGGCCCTTCTGGGATGCAAAGGCCTAGTGCCGTCCGAAGTCTTTTCACAAATCGAAGCAAGGTTTTCGGTGGTCTTCTCGCAGTCTGCAGAGACCATCCCAGCAACAGAGGCCACAGAAGCAGTCCTGAGGCGGCTCATTGCATTCGGAGCAAAGCATGCTTTGTGCCAAGACAGTTGGCAGTCAGTGGAACATCCCTATCGGCTCTTCCAAACACAAACAGCCTCAGCCATGGAGGTCTTGCAACGGCCATCGCTTCGCATGCCCTGTGTGGATGTCACTTGCGTGAGGGCAACTGCTACGCAACAAAAGATCGTGGCTGAGCTTTGCCTATCTCCAGCCGTTCGTCTCATCCAGCCTCTTGCTACCTTCCTCACCCGGGCTGCCCAGTCCCCAGATCTGGCAGGGCGATTTCGTCTCGAGGGCTCCAAGGCAGTCTTCAGGCCGGTGACGCATGTGTTGCCTCGGCTGACGCCAGCTGAAGTCACACATGTTTGGACCAATGGCTTCCTTCCCACCATGCAGCTGCCTGTGGAGTTGCAAAGCAAGGAAGCATTTGTGGAGTACTGGCGACTGATCCATGGCCTGCGCTTGACAGATGCAGAGCTCTCTACCTTTGCTCGTGTGGAGTTTTCCTCGTATGAGAAGTACTCTGGCCTCGTCCTCACATACCCGGTGGCTTGTCTTTGGCGGACTCCCTGGACGGAGCAGCCTGCCTTGAGCAGGCAACATGGACCAAGTATTTTGAAGCAAGTTCTGCAGAGCTTGGAACAGCACAGTGCTTTTGCGTCGGAGATTGTATGTCAAGAGACTGCAGATCCATTGTCATTGCACCTGGCACCTGAAGAGTCATTGAAACCTATGAAGCTTCCACAGTCTCAATCTGTCCCTGCGAAGCCAGAGAGCTCTGAAAGTGCCAGACCTGCCAGAGGGAAGCGGCGCCTGATCTTGCCCATCTTGCAGGCTCCCTCGAGAGATTCGAACTCCAGGAGACGCTTGGGCTGAATTCACTCAATTCCAAATGCCTTTAAAGTTTAAAGCACATTCGTATCGTGATGCATGGTGGCATGGTGCATGCTGGGTTGATTTGCGCATGCTCGGGATGAAAAAGCTTTGGGTGAGTGTTTCTCTTAACACTCTGTCGGACTTGCTGCAAACACATGCAAACACATCATAGCATGGTAGTGAATGAACTGAAATTGGTTTGGAGCCTCGTGCACCGTGCCCGGCCTTCACCTTCACCGAGGTTTTGCCTGACTATTCACAGAACAAGCTTTTGCCCTGGCTCTTCAACAAACTTCGGAAAGGCCAGAATTGCTGGGAGAGAAAACTGTGTCAAAGCGGCACTGATTCTACGGTGTTTCATGGAGCGCGGCATCTGTAGAATCCATCTACATCCGTAGACCGAGTTCAGACATATCGAGTCAACGGTGACCCGGTACCCACCGCGGACGCATTGGACCTGAAGACACGCGATGACCCAGGTCTTAACACGCAGCTTTAAGTGCCAGCTGGGAATTTGGTCCGGCTGTTGGCCAAGTTGGTGAGGGTCTCAAAACCTTTGCAGCCAGCCATGGTCAGCCTCCTCTTCCACCTTAGGAGAGCAGGGTGAGCAGTGCGGCACTCGGCTCTCGATGAACATCACGGCAGCAGATAGATCTCTCGTTTAGATAGGATAGCGGACTGTCGATGACAAGGATGTTGGCTGTTTGAGCTTCCATTGATGCTGCAAGATGCTGCAAGTGTAGTGTTGTAGGCTAAAGCTAACACCGTCAAAGATCGCAGGTGCAGCATTGCCAAAGTTTGCTTGCAGGTTTTGGCCCAGATTAGGTCCATGAAAGGAAGCGCATGTTGACATGCTGAAATCCAAACAATCAAGCTTCTTGTTTTCAAGATAGGTCACGCATGCACGAGACAGCAATCTTTGAGCGCCCAGAATCTCAATCACCAGGCCAGCACGAGATCCGACCAAGACCCCAAACTCCACCCTGATGGACCCTGAACCAGCGTCCCTTAAAATATCTCAGACTGGAGAAGGTAGTGATTTTGTTGGCCGTTAACGCATCGCTGAATGTGATGGCTTCCATGAAGGAGAAGTGTCTCCAAGTGGCCTTGGCAGCAACCAGGCGCCACCCCTTCGCAGCCTGCGCAGCCACAGACTTACTCCATCTTACTCCCAAGATCTCCCAAGAAGGGCACCATATGCTTCATCGTATAATATATATAATTATACTGCATATTATATATTATTGTATATCTTTATCTCTATGTATGTATATATATATATTATATGTGATACATCTACCGTGCTATGGGTGGCAGTCGAGCAGTAACATAGCTGGCAGAGCAGAACATATTCTAATGATAGGATGCTCCTTTCTGATCAGTTGCACACATTGACCCCATTGGACCCTCTTCAGGTGGATGCTTCTTTTCCAGCGGCTTTTGACACTGATTTCCCACTTGGTGGAAGCACCGTGAGCAATCGCCGAGCAATCGGCAGGTATGAAGATTCCTGGTGGCTTCCCTTCGTGCTTCTCGCAGTGACCTGACATCACCGCATCCGGGTGCAGGGCATCACTGAAGTGGGCGGACTTGGGTGACTTCAGAATCTGGTCACCTCCCTTGGGTCCAGCGGGGTGTGTCTTTTTGGAGTCTGGAGGAAGCCTTCGGCTGGTGAGATGGTGGTCTTACCTGGGACCAGAGTGCTCATTCTTTGGTTTGTTGAGACGCAAAGAAAAAGGGGTGCTGGAGGTTCATGGAGTGTGATTCAGGTGCAGTTGTCACACGAAAATCCTGCTCGGTTTTTTTCCAGCCCGTCGGCCCAGGTCTGTACGCTGAATAGCATCACAGGTGGAATGCTGACGTGGTCCGTGGGCATTTTGCAGAAGCTCGAATTCAGGGTCACAGCAGATTCACCGCTTGGTGGTGGAAGGGCCAGACAGAGATGGACTGAGGCAGTACAGTTGGATTAAGTTGGGTGTCAGTATATGTCAATGTTCATCTCAGCATTGACATCATAGTTTGACATTCTGTGTAGAAGCACTCCCGCATTAAAATCCCACCATAGAACGAAAAAGCATATTTACATGGGGTTCAGTGAAGAAAATGAATTGTATTTCTGCGAAATGCAGTACTGTACCATAATGTACCATATAATGGGTTCAGGGAGTGGTTTGGGGTTATAGATTCCATATTTTTTAATATAGTAATAGTAACATAATTGTTATGGGTATCACGATGTATTGTTGAGCAAGTTCGGGGCAGGTGATTATGTGATGTTTAGTATATATTTTGGATCCTCTCCATGTGGTAAAGTGCACGATCTGTGATTTTTTGAACTTTCGGGATCTTTCGTCGGAACTTTTGTGGTGCGAGCGCAAGAAGTTGATTGCCCACAATCCTGGAGCCTTAACAAAAAGGCATTAACGCATCAGGATCTCAGCCACATGGGATCTAGTAAATCTCGTGTGTCCAGACACTGCGTTCCGCTTGTTGGATTCCTGAACACCAGGCCTAACTATATCGGTTGGCTTAGGAAGGGAGCCGACCTCAAAGCCATTCGGGAGATCGAAGCCAATTTAAGTCCCTTTCGTGTTTGGGTTGCCGTCGGTCCTAGGATGGCATTGTTCAACATCATTGTGACTTGGCACTTTCATGAAAGCGAAGGAGTGGAAGGCCAGTCAAAACCTCCCAAACCGATCGGCGAAAGTCTTCGGATGCTCGGATTCTTCCAGCTGTCCGGTTCGGCCGGCATGGGGTGGGGTCACTGAAGTCTATTTACGCGGAAAGCGTGGACAAGCCTTTTTTCCTACCTTTTTTGTGATGAAACTTGCTGCTCAAATCTCCTTTAGGTCTTCCAAGAGACTTAAATCTAATTATGTGCTTCCCATCCGTCATTCACCTACTAATTGAAGAGAACTCGATCGTGAAAATGAAGAGAACTCGATCGTGATGTCGGTAGCTCAAAGTGGAGCTTTGTAACCTGAGGTTTTGTCTCGAAAGTATACCTTCTTCATTGGACCTTTGATGCTGAGCACTGGATCTCTCATTGCCGGCTACTTCTATGTGCAGGTCATGCATCCTGATAGCAAGGCTCGATACACCTGCCGAGCACGCAGATGGGTATCATTGGTTCACCCATTTAAGAGCCAGGTAGAAAATAGAAAACCACACACCCATCCAACTCCTCCTTGGCCTGAGCAGTGATAGTTTCACTCAGACCCCACTGCTGCCCCGCTTTCTCACTGCATACTTTACAAAGAAACATGTCAAAATAATAGGGTCTTCTAGGGAATGAAATCTAATACTCTAATCCCTTTTTCATGCAAAATAGCTGGAATTCCAGCCTCTGGTGCCTGCCCAGCACAAGACGTTGCCAAGCTGGGAACTTCGGCAACCGGGAACTTGGCAATTTTTCCTAGGGCCTCATCCTAGGAAGACCAACGGTGCAGATGCACTGCTGGACTATGCAGGAGTCAAGGATTCCACCTGGCTGAACAAGGTGCGCGAAGCTCGCTGGCGAATGTCGATTGTGGTGGTGATGCAAAGCAGCGAAGGATTATCTCTTTGGTACCTCCGTTCAACTCAAGTCAACTCTCTCACTGAGTCTTCGCTTGTTGCAGGCTTCTTGTGCGAAGCTCAAGTGTCGTTCTTGCTGCTGGGTGGATCCTGAAGATGCAGTCTCCCTCCAATGACAGAAAAATCACGGGTTGCTTCTTTCTGAGGGTTGTGCGATGATGCAGACATTGTACTCATTGGGCTTGCAGCCCTGGTTCCTGACACGTCTTGGGGCTTTGCTGCAACCTACAGAAATAAGCTGCCAATTCCGTGCGACCATAGGATCCCACAAAGGACCTTAGACTTCTGACACTCTAGGATGGCACGTTTGGATCTTGGTTGGCATGTCTCAAAACATCTCAAAACCATTCTATTGGGGATCAATCAATGCGTCTTCAACATGTTGTTCACGAAAGGTAGCCCTTTAGGGGATACCTTGAGTTTGTCTTGCGAAGCAAGTGTCGGCGCGTCCGGGTCTAATAATTGATTGCTCAATTCAACCCCCCCCCCTTAGAAGTGATTTTTCAATAGGCCCCCCCCCCCTGAAAAGTAGAGCCTACCTGTACAGGGTTCCACTCCAACAGCTGATATAGTGTGTCCATGCTTGACTGCTTCAAGGCTCAAAGAGCAAGAGGATAAGACTCTGCGCATAAAAGACACTAGCGGTCTGCACCTCTACCGTGTACGCCCTAGTCACTCTTTCAGTGGTAGCGGAGCAGTGATCCTGGAAGACCCAGGTGAGCTCCTTTCCTAGGCATAGAATTGCTTGTGGGCAAACGGCCATGGATTGGATTGACGACTGGGAAGAGCCTGATGCGGATGTGGCTTATGAGCCAGCAGCCTACGTGAATAGGCATGTGAGAAGAGAACCAGCAGCAATAGCAATGACAACACAGGTCACTACAAAGGTGCCCCCATCTTATGATGGAAAGACTTCATGGTTTTCCTATGAGGATGCCATAGACGATTGGTGTGATATCACCGAGCTGGAAGATGAGAAGAGAGGACCAGCTTTGAGAAACAGATTAGAAGGAGAAGCAGCAGTATACAAACGTGTATTAGACAGAGATTCATTGAAGGCTAATGAGCCACCAGGAGCAGGAGTAGATTACTTCAAAAGAGTACTACGACCATATTTCGTGAAAGGATCAACCAATGTATTCCTATACAGGTTTATGCAATTCGTGCGATTCAATCGAGGATCAGCTGACATGATGAAATGGATGACAAGATTCCAGATTTTACTCCAAAGGCTTATGAGCAGTTGGATGGACATGTTAGAACCAGTCACTCAAGCACATCCCCAAGTCCTTGCTCAGATGCAGGCAGATGCAGCGTTGACTGGAGTAGCACCAACGGCAGAAAGGATTCAGGAAATCATGCAGAATGTCAATGGCAATATGAGAATTCTTCATCAGAATGATTTTCCTTTAGGAGAGAATCTCATTGCCCTACTCATGCTGTCCCTTGCAGATTTGTCTCAGGACCAGCGAAACACTTTGACTTCGTTGATGACTCATCGTGGCAGGTGCCTGCAGCAATACACCACAACAGAGTTGAGGACAGTGTTCATCGAGATGTTCTGCACGACAAAGACTTCAGTAGACAATCCATTGATGCAGCCGACAGGTGCTGGAGGTAGAAGATCATTTCTCGTACTAGACGAAGGAGAACTCGATGGTACATTTGGCTATTGGGCCGAAGATGAAGAAGATGGAACAGAAGGATTTTTAGATGCCCTGGACGATGTCTTTTGGGTATATGATGATCAAAACTTCTCATGGTTCCAAAGGAGATTCCAAGGAAGAAGAGCCAGAAAAGGCAAAGGAAAAGGAAGAAGAAAAGGAAAAGGAAAAGGAAGATCAGGCCGCAGATTCTTCAGACCTCGTGGAAAAGGAAAAGGAAAGAGACGAGGTAAAGGCCATTTTGCTGATGAGCAACAGACAACTTTTCCAGATGAATACCTTGAAGAGAATCCTTATGAGGACACTTGGGAGTCAACCCAAGGAGCATATGATGCCATTCTTGCCGAGGATATGAATGACTATCTTCAAG